ACCTGCTGCGCAAGCCCAAGGACCCAAGTTCAATCTCTAGTACCAAAAAAAAATAAATGTGTTTCCTGTATTCAGCATATTGTTGGATCTTGTTTCTTGATCCATTCTTCCAGTCTGTTTCTTTGATTGGTGAATTGAGACCAGTAACATTGATGGTTATAACTGGTGTGTATTTTCTTATCTCTGTCATGTTATTTTCCTGCTGTTGGCTTCCTTCTTTCCTTTTCTGTTTTATTTCTTGCCTTGCCTGGTAGATTCATTCTGTTGGGGTTCATGGAGTTGTAATCCTTACTGTCTCTTTCTAGAATATCCTTTAGAACACTTTGGAGTGCTGGTTTGGTGGTCATGAGTTTCTTCAAGTGTTCTTTGTGATGAAAGTATATTATTTCACCATCAATTTTGAAGGATAGTTTTGCAGGGTACATCAATCTGAATTGGAGGCTGTTTTCCTTTTATGCTTGAAATATTTCACTCCAAGCTCTCCTTGACTTGAGAGTTTGCATTGAGAAGTCTGCTGAGAGTTTGATGGGCTTTCCTTTATAGGTGATTTGTTTCTTCTCTAACAGCTTTTAATATTCTGTCCTAGTGTTGAATTTCTGGAATCTTTACTATTACATGCATTGGGGAAAATTTTTTTGATCATGGCTAATTGAAGTCCTGTATGCCTCACTTATTTATATGTCAAATTCTTTTTCCCTGTTCGGGAATTTTTCTCCCATTACTTTAGAGAATAGGTTTTTTGTGTCATTTGCACTATCTCCTGCTTTTGCACTGACTCAACTCAGTCTTATGTTATTCTTCTTTGCATCATCTAGCAGCTGCTGAGTTGATTTCTTATGGTCCCTTGCTATTTTTAAGAAATTTCTCTTCTTGATCGCTAACTGTAATCCTGTCTTCTATATCTGATATTCTGTTCTCATATTGGATCATTCTTCTGTGTATACTTTCAGTGGAGTTTTTAATCTCCTGGATATCTGTTTGAATCTGTTTCATGGATTCCATTTCTTTCCTATGCTGGCTGCTCATGGTTTCCATCATATTCCTGAGCTCCTCTATTTTTTGTATCTATTTTTCTGGTCACCATCTCTGTAGTTATCTGGAAAATCATTTCTGCTTTGATTTTTTTGTAGAACTTCGTTCATATGCTTTGCTACTTCTGCTATTACCACTTCAGAGAGTTCAGGTGGGTGGCTTTTGGGTTGTTCCACTTAATTGCCCTTAAGGTTTGCGGTTGGTGAGCTAAAAGTCTGTGAGGGGTTGCATCTTGTTTAAGTGCCTTCTCATTTTCTTTTTTATTTTGATTCTTGAGTTGATGCTTGTAAATTGCTTATGGGAAGTAGCTTTATTGCCAGTATTCAGAATCTTTAGGATATCACTTCTCAGAAGCATCTTCCAGATGTAGCTAGCTTTTGGTTTTCGAGTCTGTTGCAGGATCCTACCTCTTCAATTTATTGGAGATGTGAAGTTTCTCTCTACTTGGCCCAACTGCCAGTTCTTTGGCACTGGCCTATAGGTTTGTTTTTTTTCTTTTTTAAGACCTCTAGGCAATCTCAGTCTTGATCTACCACTGATTAGCACAATTTTGTTACCTTGGCTAAAGTAGTAGTGTAATCAACAACAACAATAGCATCAAATACAGCCTAGTAAATGACAAATTGTAGCCCTTAATATGGCATTTTTACCCTTAGGGGAGAAGATTTAAAAGGAGTTAGGGGGATTTAAAAAAACAGAAATAGAAGAAGAGGAAGAGATCAGAAGCAAGGCTGGAAGACAGACTTTAGGAAACAGGTGGAGCAGACAGGAAACAGAAGGAAAAAAAAAAAACAAGAACAGAACAGATCACCAACAACAAAAAACTAGAAAGTGTGTTCAAACAATCGAGAAAACAAAACAAAACAAGAACTAGAAAGGAGAGGGAAAAGGCAAGGAAAAACAAAAAAGATTTTAGAAAACCAAAAATGTCCAATTCAAGGTGTGTCTCTGTTATCCCTGATAAGCATTGTGGGCAAACAGAGTCCAGGGCCAAATTGATTAATCCCAGCAAGCTAGCTGCAGCTTCACAGTGGGGTAGTGGATAATCTCAGCCAACCTGCCCCTTTAGTTCAGGCTAGTTTCTGGCATTAGACTGGAACCATATTCCTTGAGCCTACAACTATGTATGTGTCTGCTGCTGACTTGAACTCTGCTCCCTGACACTGTGCACCTGAAGCCACTAGAAGGAGTTCACCTGCAGCTGTTCTGAGTTCAGAGATCAGTTAGCCCCTCTCCAAGATGGCTACCAGCCAATCACCCTTTCCTGGGTGAGGTCTGAACCTGGATAACTCAGGTGCTGCAGTCCGGTTCATCCACTGCTCAGTTCCACTGGTGCGCTTCTCTGTGGAGGCCTCTGGGGTCATCAGTAGTCACTGTTCATCTGCAGTTTTGGCCCACCATTCCCTCTCAGAGAGTCCAGGCTCTGGGAGAGAGCGATGCTTGGTAACTCCCTCCTCTTTATGAAAGTCTCTCTCACCTGTAGACTTCAGTCCTTCCTGGGTCCCGGGGACCCACTTCCCTCCTCCTCCTCGCATTCCTGTATTCCAGGGTCAGGACACCAAATCTCAGAGAGGCTCTTTCTCTGCTGCTTACCGCTTCACCATCCAGTGATTGCATTTTAGTAAACTTCGCTTCACCTATGAAATGGGCTAATGATGACTGAGAGATAATGTGGGCATAAGCCACATGCTTTGTGCCCAGTATCAGTTACATATTTATAATAACAGCAGTAACATGTGTCTCAGGAAGTTTGGTGGCTTGTATGTGGAACAACCAACCTAGTTTGGGAACCATGGTGTTGGTGTTGGTAATCTTCCCATTGGGAGTTATACAGCAATATTTTCTTTATTTGAAAATTGTTTTTATGCATAAGTTATATTCATGAAAAATAAAGTCTGGTCAGGTAATTCAATAAAAATCAAAAGAAAATCACCACCTGATGACATCCTGCCAAAAATTTCAGTGCATATCTTGCAGACATAAATATGTCAGCTTACACATTTCATTCAAATACGAGTGTCATATGCAGACACAGCTCACTGCTTAGTACTGCAATAAAAAGATCCCAAGGACAAGAAATAGGACAAACAAACTAGTGAGAGAACAGAAACTGAATTAGTTCTTTGAGTAGGGGAACCAGGCGCATAGACCACTACCTGGCCTAAGAAGAGCAGGTGTGGCTTTACAGAAGACAGCTCAGCTCTCGAGACTGGAGGGACATGCTGGTGTGCTCTTGACACTGGGGTTGTTTGTTTTTTTATTTTGAGACGGGCTCACTATGTAGTCCAGCTGGCCTTGAACTCGATATGTAGCCCAGGTTGGCACTGAATTTGAGATCTTCCTGCCCCAGCCTCCCCAGTGCTGGAATAACAGGTGTGCACCACCATCCCCATTGACACCTTCGTTTTAAGGAGAGTTTGCTGAATGGATGGACTCAGTCTGGGATGGAGATTGAACTTAGCTACATCCCAAGTTCTTTGTATTCATTTATTTATTTTTAGGTTTTTTTGGTGTTTTTTTTTGGTACTGGGGATTGAACTCGGGTCCTTGCGGTTGCACAGCAGGCGGTGAAACCACTGAGCTAAATCCCCGGCCCTAGTTTTAGTTTTTGATATGTGACAGGATCTCACTATGTAAGTTCAAGCTGACCTTAAACTCATGACAATCCTCCTGCCTCAGCCTCCCGAGTGCTGAGACTACAGGTATGAGCCTCTCTACCTGGCTGAGGTGCCTTTTAACTCTGAGGAGAAATGGAGTGGGAGTGTAGTGGTGGGGGAAATCTCGGTTCTTAGCAGTGGCTGGTTTGAGAAGACTCTTCAAGTTTGCCATTCTTCTTCCTTCAACAAAGAAAAAAATTAGCCAGGCTTGATGGCACACACCTATATTCCTAGCACTCTGGAAGGTTGAGGCAGGAAGATCACAAGTTCAAGCTTAGCTTGGGCAATTTAGCAACTTAGGAAGACCCTGGCTCAAAAATTTAAAAATATTGGGGAAAAATTTTTAAAAGGGGATGAGGGCTGAGGATGTAGCTCAGTGCAAAGACTCCCAGATGTGTGGGAGTCGCTGGCTTAACTCCTGGAGCAGCTTTGGGGGCATGTGTCCATGAGGAGTCACAGTGGGAGGGTCCCTAGGAGGGGTGGGACATCTGCTGTTCTTTGGCTCTCTGAGGAGGAAGTGTAGTGTCTACCTCCCTTCTGCATTCTTGCCTGCATGGCCAGGCAGCCTCCCCCAGCTTTCCTGTCTCTCAGTTCTGGTGCTTGTGGCAGCTCTGACCAGGGGCTCGAGGATGCTAAGGGTTGGTAGAGAGTCTATGAGCAGACCCAGGTTTGGGGAGCTGTGCACTGCTGTGCGTGTGATGTGGTGCAGCTTATTTCTAAACCTGCCTCTTTCATGTTTGAGGTGCTCTTCACTCAACCCAGTGTGTTCACCTCTGGATGTCATGGGCAGCTACTCTTTTGCCTCTTTTGCCCTGGCACACCTGGCCCCATAGGGCTGTTACGGATGGTTGGGATGTCTTAGAGCTGTGTAGATCAGGAGCTTTCATCTCATCCCACTCCCTAAATTAAGATCACAAAAATGGCCCCATGATTTCCCAAGGGTGCCCATGGCACCAGGTCTTACTCTGAGAATAAGCTCCTGAACACTCAACATCCAGTTTTCCTGTGTATTTCTGTCTTTTACATACACTGTCTTTCGTTTAGCTTCCTTTTTTTCATTGTAAAGGCTCTAAAATCAGAGTGACTTAGATTTTGATTCCTATAATTAACATTTTTAATGTTCCTGAGACACCTAGTATCAGTGGTTGAAAATTTAGGAGTCACAGCATTTATTGCCTGTCTGATGAGCATCTTTCCCACTGTGCACAGCCCTGGCGTGGGGCACAGCCCTGGCGTGGGGCTCTGTGAACAGAGACACATGCCCAGAGTGCCCCCAAGAAGCCGGACTGACCTGCTTCTCCTGTGTGTTAGGTTTCAGAGCACCGTGCAGGTGAGCAGGCTGCAGGACCTCATCAACCGCAGCAAGATGGCCAGGTGCAGAGGACGATTTGTCTGCCCAGTGATCTTGTTCAAAGGCAAGGTAAGGCTCCTCCAAGTCTTGTGCACCAAGGCTGTCTTCTGGGTAACTGACCCCTGCAAAGTATAAGTTGTTTCTCTCTGCCAGCCTAAGGTTGGGGGCTCCCTGGGACCTGGTGTTATGGGAAGTAGGCTAGAGAAACACACTACTTTAGATTCGAGGATGGTTTCAGGCAGAGAAGGGATATTGGTAGGAGAGTACCATGCCCTGTGTTCTGGAAGTGGCTCTGGTACTTCCTTCTTGCACAAGGTTTCAGTTTCCTCTTCTGTCAGATGGGAAGAATAACATTACAGAGTAGATTGAATCAAGTGAGACATTATACTCATGTTTATTCTTTTGATCATATGTGTAACTGAGTGTTATTGGGGGTGGGTTTTTTGGTACCGGGGATGAACTCGGGTCCTTGCGCTTGCGCAGCAGGCAGCGAAACCACTGAGCTAAATCCCTGACCCCTAGGGGGTGGTATTTTTGAGACAGGGTTTTGCTATGTAGTTCAGGCTGGCCTTGAACTCACTATGTAGCCTAAGCTGGCCTCAAACTCACAGTGATCCTCCTGCCTCAGACTCCCAAGTGCTAGGATTATAGGTGTGTGCCACCACACCTGGTGAATCTAGTGTTTATTGAGTGTGTAATCTGTGTAGATGCCTTTCAGACCATGAGATATGTCAGCATATAAGACAGACACTTCTTCCCTGCACAGAGCTTTTGTTCTTCTAGTGGCTGCTGTTAATTGCTCCCTAACATGGCCTCATTTTGCTTGTCTTGCTATTGTTTGGTGTAAGGAGTATGTTTTGCCTTACACAAAATGAAGCAAAGGCTCACAGTGGTTGAATAATTTCCCCAAGTTTACTTTACACACAACACCAGTGGTTTGAACCCATCTCCAGCATGATACTGCAGTTGAGAGTTGCATGGGGCAGATAGTATCAGGAGAGCTCAGGAAAGAGGGCAGTGGTATAGCCCAGCAAACTGGTGGCCTCCAGGGAGTGTGACATGGCCAGGCCCATGTTGAGGGTGGGCAGGATGCTGCCAGCAGGTAATACAGCATCAGAGAAAGCATGGGGTATGCAGGAAAGAGAGCCAGGAGGCTTCCATGGCTGGAGAAGAGGGTGCAATGAGAGCAGAAGATGGACCACCTGTGTTTCCCAGAGCATGTCCACAGGAGAGCAATGTGATAATAGGCTGTGGAAAGCATTCCCTGTCATGTAAGAATGAGAAATACTGGCATGGCATGGGGGCTGAGGCAGGAGGATCACAAGTTCAAGCCCCACCTGGACAACTTAGTGTCCATGTTACTTTTCTCTCATTGCTGAGACAAAATACTTGATACTCATGAGTTAAATGGAGAAAGGTTTATTTAGCTCACAGTTAGTAGAAGTTTCAGTCTATAGTCAGCTGGCTCCAAGGCTGGGTGGCACAATAGACAGGCATAGCAGAGGAGAAATAGTTCATGAGGGCAGAAGGTAGAGCAAGCAAGAGTCGACCACAGTTCTTTCTATCCCTTATATCTTATCCAGGCTACTTAGAGCGGGCAGCACTCACACCCTTAATCCTAGTCCCCTTGATTCTAGCATTGCACCATGGATTCAATCCCAACATCATACACCCTAGATTCAGCCAGCTCTGAACAAGCCCCACCTATGAATGCATTAGTCTTTAGGGGAACATCTAGACATAAGTGTCTTAGCAAGACTCTGTCTCAAAATGAAAAATAAAAAGGGCTGTGGATGTACCTCAGTGTGAAGGACCTGGGTCCAATCCCCAATACCACCAGAAAAAAGAAAAAGAAGGAAAAGAAAGAAACACTGCATCCTAACCTTTTCCTAATTTTCATTGACCTTTTTTAAAGCCCACCCAGATCTGTGAACAGAGTTCAGGCTCTGAGAAGTCCTGTAGCAGCTTCTTTGTCCTGTGCAGTGTTTCTCCTGTTTCTGTGGAACATAAGAAACGTGGACAGCTCACTTGGAAAACTGCCACACCAGACAACTCCAGATTCCTGTGACTCAGTCTAGCTGAGAGCTCTAGGGCAGACTCAGCATTTAAGTCTTAGGTGGGCCTGGACCAGCAGATTGCAGAGGAATGGCCCTAAATTGCTACAGAGGCTTAGCCTGAGGAGGTTGTTATGTTTTCAAATGTTCACAGGGGCTTTGTCATTAATTCAGCTTTTTTCCACCTCACACCAGGTGGTGTAGTACCGTTTCACACCTCTTAGCTTTCCCCAGGATGGCAGCACTGACACTCACATGGTACCTGTGTCCACAGCAGTTGCTAGGAAATACACCACCATGTGCTTCCTGTCTCTGCCTTGTGTTTCTGGGGCAGCAGCCTTTCCTCGAGGCAGTCCTCCCAGGCCCCCGAGCTGACTGCCTAGTGTGTAAGTGTGTGTTCAGCTGGAGACGCTAATCTGGGTGCAGCTGCTGTGCTCACCAGGTCGGCTTCTGGGGAGACAGGTGGACAGGACAGCCCCTGGAGCTCAAGTCCTGGGGAAGGCACTCAGAGAGTTTAGAATGGGTGAGAACGTGGCTTCTGCTGGAGCTAGGGAACCTGGTCCTCAGATGTGTCTCAGGAGCCACCTGTACCTATTCAGGGAGTGTCATTACCAGCATCACTTGATTCCCCAGTACCACAAAAAAATAATAATAATAATAATTAAGACTTTCAGGGGCCGGGGATTTAGCTCAGTGACGCTATACCTGCCTTGCAAACACAAGGTTGTGAGTTTGATCCCCGGTACCAAAAAAAAAGAATTAAGACTCTGAGCTGTATGTGGTAGCTCATGCCTGTAATCCCAAGACTTGGGAGGCTGAGACTGGAGAATCATGAGTTCAAGGCCAGCCGGGGAAACAGCAAGATCAAGGCCAGGCTGGACTACAAAGTAAGACCCTGTCTCAAAAAACAAAGACCACTGTGGGATGAGCCTTCTGCCTTCCTGACAAGCTCAATACCTTGGGGAATTGACCAAGCCCTTTGTTCTTTTCCATCTGACTGTAAATGAGTCCTGCTGGACCCAGGGCTGGCTGACTCAACTTCCAAAAGGACAAGGACAATAGGGGCTTGGGAAAAGAATAAGGAGCAAGAAGAGGGTCTCAAAGTTCAATAGCCAGCTGGGCATGATGACATGCATCTGTAGTCCCAGCACTCTTTGAGCCCAGGCTAGCCAACTGAGCAATTTAGTGAGACTTTGACTCAAAAAGGGCTGGGGATGCAACTCAGTGCAAAGGCCATGTGTTCAATCCCTAGTACTGGGGTGGATTGGGGGGACAGAAAATAACTTCAGTAGCCAAAAAGAGGCTGTGTGTCTGCTGTGGAAAAGATCTCACAGCTGCATGTGAGGGACAGCAAGGCTAGTGCCATGGCTGAGCTGTGTGGGAACGTGCCCCAGAAGGTGTATGAGTTGAGGGCTGTCGGGAATCAGACCTCCCTTAGCAGGCAGGGTTTGAGGTTCTCAGTCTAGGGTTGGCTTTTTCCCTCCAGGGCTGTCCCTTAAAGCCAGGGTTCCTAACAGGGCTCGGCAGGGACCCGGATGGGCCTGGGATTGTCCAGGAACCCTGGAGTGTAGGCACACTGTGGTGTGCACATGTTCTTCTGCAAACAGTAGGCAGTTCTCATCAGAATTTCAAAATGCTCCTAGACCCAGAGGACATTAGGTGGCTCCACCAGAGTGCTTCCTGCTGAGACCACAGGGATTCAGCCTAGCCTCTCTGTAGGGTTTCCAGGGCAGCCTCCCTGAGTAGAGGGACCAGCACATAAGTGCATGCTCGGCAGAATGATGCTGCTCTACGTAAAGCAGTTGTGGGCCAGGCTGGACTCTGGGGAGAGAGGTGAGGAAGAAGAGTCTCGGGAAGGCAGACGTGAATAGTACGAAGCATGAGGTTTTAGCCGGTGCCTCTTCACCACCTCCTTCCACTGTAAGGACAGCCAGAAGTGACCGAGGAGTTTCCACCCTCTTCTTGAGCAACATGTTGCTTCCTTCCCTTCATCAGCAGAGAATGAGGTCCCATAAGGTAGTGGAGACCCACTTTCCCCCCCAGATTATGTGGCCCACTTGGAAGTGAACTTGCCTGAAATGTCCCCTCACAGCCTATGCACACTGTAGTGTAATGAGTGTTCTCCTAGCCTTTGGCCGAGCTCCCCAGCCCTGCTGCTCTCCTCATATGATTGTTTTAAAGGTATGGCCTTGGGCTGGGGATGTAGCTCCTTGGTGCTGCACCTGTCTGGCAAGCGCAAGGTCCTGAATTCAATTCCCGGTACTGGGGGCGCGGAAACACAATAAAGGTATGGCCTTAACATTAGATATTGAGGTTCTTACAGTTTTCTAGTGTCTAGAATTCTAGTTCACAACATGATCCCCTCAGTGATGAGGGAAAAAGTAAAAGAATATTCAAGCAAGAAGCTGGGGGTGTAGCTAAGTGGTAGGGCACTTTCCTAGCATGCACAAGGCCCTGGGCTCCATTCCCAGCACTGGAGGGAAAAAAATTAAGCATAGTTATTTGGGGGGTTTCACTCCATCCCCAGGGCATGGCACACATGTAGCATCCACCAGATCTTTCCCAGTGCCTTTAACTGGGGAGTCTCTTTGAATAGAGACTCTGGGCTGAGCTTCAGGCATCCTTCAGTCTGGCTGTGGGGAACGTGCCTGAGCCCACTTGCTGGCCCAGAGGAGGCAGGAGGCCCCGGTGTCCTTCAGCCATGCATACTGCGGAAACCTGACTGAGGATGCTGTCTGTCTCCCAGCATATTTGCAGGTCGGCCACACTGGCTGGATGGGGGGAGCTGTACGGACGCTCTGGCTACAACTATTTTTTCTCAGGTGAATATTGAGTAGCCCCTCTGGGTATGAAATGAGAGCCCAGTCATAGAGACGAGCCCCACAGTGGCATAGCCAGAGGGTGGGAGCAAGCTCATGGAGACTGGGCATCCTTTCAGCAGGGAACAGGGGACCCACAGAAGTCATTTGAGAGGAAACCAGAGCGCCAGACAAGCAGGGTGCATGGAGGGCAGGAGCTGCGAGGGCTGCCCCTGGGATGAGGGCTGTCCCTGGGGTGGGGGCTGGTGGCTCAGCCTGCACCTTGAGCTACAGGGGAGGAAGCCCAGGAAGGAGCCCTGTGCCGGCAGCCTCAGTGCTGATAGGCTGCTTTCTCTGGCAGGGGGTGCAGATGACGCCTGGGCAGATGTGGAAGACATCACAGAGGAGGACTGTGCTCTTCGGTCAGTGCTGGGTCCCCATGGGCAGGGCTGACTGGCCGGTGAAGACTTTGTTCGCACTAGCTCTGTCTTCATCCTGATCCACACTTGTGGCCTGGTCTTTTCTCTCATCCACACAGCTGAAACAATGTGGTCAGTCCATTCGGGAGCTTCCTCCCAGTGCCGCCTGTCACACCCCTGTGCAGCCTGTAGCCAGGACGGAGGCACTTGAGCTTCTCGAGGAGTCTTGGCTTGGCTCCTGGTCTACTGGCCGCGATAGGCCCCATGAGTCTGCGTTTGTTTCAGAGCCCATCAAGTTTGAGGTGTGCATCCAGGGTGGCAGGTGCCAGCTCACAGGTATCACACAGCAGGCCTCTGGTGCAGGAGCAGAGGGCGAGGACCGTCTTCCTCTCAGAGGACACACGGAAGACACTTGTAGCAGTGAGAAGTCCCACGGCTGCATGACTGGTGTCTAAAAAAGAGCTTGATACAGAATAGTGTTTTGAGCCTCTAAAGAGAGGCAGTAGGGGGCTGGGCATTTAGCTCAGTGGCTTCACCATCTGCCTCAAAAGCAGAAGGTCCTGAGTTCGATCCCTGGTCCCCCCCCCCCAAAAAAAAGGCAGTGGGCTAGTTCACACTCTTCCTACCCCTTTTAAAGAACAACACTATAAGCCAGTTGTGTGGCCCATGCAAACCTATAATCCTAGCATTATGGGAGACTGAGGCAGGAGGATCAATCACAAATTCAAGCCCAATCTGGGTGATTTAGCAAGATCCTGTCTCCAAGTAAATAAAAGAAGGACTGGAAATGTAGCTCAGTGTGAAAACTTTGGGTTCAATCCCAAAAGCCACCAAAAACCCCTTTGTAGGCTGTTTTAGAAAAGCTCCTTGGGGCCATAGATTTAGCTCAGTGGTCCCACCACCTGCCTCGCAAGCACAAGGTCCTGAGTTCAATCCCCAGTACCAAAAAAAAAAGAAAAATACTCCTTTGAGTGTCTACAGCTGATGTTGAACAGCTACAGAGTGCTCAGTAGCATTGTGTGAGGTCAGCTGCCCACACTGGTGTGGGACGTGGAGGGGCATCTTGCCTCACCTAGGTTCTACCCACTGTCCCAGAAAGCCGTGGCTCTGGCTCCTCCCCTAAGGTCAGGTGACCTATGCCCCAGCCAGGCCACCTTTTGCAGTGCACTTTGTTCTTGGTGAGGAGACTGCAGAAACAGCAAAGCAGCAGGCATTAAGAAAATGTGATGGTTGGGCCGGGGATTTAGCTCAGTGGTTCCGCCGCCTGCCTTGCAAGCTCAAGGACCCGAGTTCGATCCCTGGTACCAAAACAAACAAACAAAAAAGAAAATGTGATGGTGACAGTTGATTCTTTGTACTCTGCCTGTATCTTCATGGCTGATCTGAAGGTAGCTTGGGGATTAGAACAGTGTTAGCTCTCTCCTTGCATCACCAGTTTGCTAAGTAGAGGGAATTCACAGTCAGTTGATGAAATAGCTCTAAAAACCCTATCTGTCTAAGAATTGCAGTGGTCCTCAGTGAGGAGAGGCAGGGAGGGGGAATCAACTCCAGTGGAAGCTCAGAGGCTCTGTCAGCCTCCAGCTCGATACTTTTGGCACTGAGATTATCTTGAATCTTCTGGCTTCATGTCAAGCAATGCCAGAAAGCCCTCTCCAGATCCAGCTGCAGATTCTTCCCTTTGAAATGTGTACTGAAGATGGGGTAATCTCCTAGAAAGTCACTTTCCTGTGCCCTCTGCCTTCAGAAGTGGACACAGTTCCTGCCAGAGACATCCATGCTTCCTGAACAACAACAAAACAACACTCGCACACCCATGGGGCACACTCTGGACCTTCTCCCTCTGGTTCTTGATTGCAGGAGTGGTGACACGCACCTTTTCGATAAGGTCAGAGGCTATGACATCCGCCTTCTTCGATACCTGTCGGTCAAGTACATATGTGACCTGATGGTGGAGAACAAGAAGGTTAAATTTGGCGTGAAGTAAGTACTCTGCAGGGCATCCCCACCGCGAAGCAGGAAGCTGAGTGTTCCCAGCCTGCAGATTGGTGGCAGGGCCCAGCAGTCCCTATGGACTGGCTCCATGCCAGAGCTATCTGCACACACTTCTATTGTGTCTTCAGATAGCCCTTTGGGGCAGGCTGTGTTGCTCCTTGTTTTTTGTAGACAAGAAACTGAAGAGGCTAACTTGGCTAAAATTGTATGGTAGTGACCAAAGGAACCAGAATCTCTGGCCAGTCCTCTAGTCCCTCATCTGGTTGGATACTCTATTTTATTCCCTGGCTCCCTTGTATATTCAAATCACTTTTAAAATGGAGTGAAATATTCAATGTATCAAGTTTGCTTCATTGATTGCTGTTACATAAAAATACATATATGGACCGAATCTTTATATACTGGAGCAAAGCTTTAAAAAATGGATCGTGAAGTTAGGAAAATGAAATTTTAAGAGCTTTTTCCAAAATTTTGTTTAATGTTTTCTTAGATCTTTTTTTTGGTATGGGGATGGAACTCAGGACCTCATGCTTATGAGGCAGGTGCTGTGCTGCTGAGCTAAATCCCCAGCCCTTTCTTCTTTCTAATATCTTTGGTTGCCCTAAATGGCTGTCTTTGCAAAGACACCATGAGGCTGAAGTCAGAGCTTAGCTACCTGGGGATTGTGAGTGTTCCTGCACTCTTCCACCCTTGTCAGGAAGCCCCAGTACTGTGTGTCCCCGGTTTAGAAGTGGCCTCAGCAGCTGTTAGAGAAGGCAGTAGAGTGGACACCCCCAGAAACCCTCTTTGGGCTGTGTCCTTATTTGGCTCTCTCCTCACTTGCCCTCTGGGCTAGCGTCCTTGGCTGTTGAAGGGAGGTGCTCCTTCAATCTTAAGTTCTGGTTGAGGCTTGCCACCATGAGAGGGAGAGACCTGTCTCACTTGAGAAGTTGGAGCTGGGGCAGAAAGTTAGATTTCTCAAGGGGGATCATTCTTAACTCTGAAAAAAAGCATTTTAGCAGAAGTTTCATTTTAGGTTGTGACAATACTCACGTGGGGACAGCATGTGTCTGTGTGTGTAGATGCTATAACATTTTGTGTCTCGTAGTGTGACTTCCTCTGAGAAGGTGGACAAAGCCCAGCGCTATGCCGACTTCACTCTCCTCTCCATCCCATACCCAGGTAGGGAGCACTCTTCTACCAAGTTTCAGGCTTCCTAGGCTGTGCCAGAGGCAGCAAGCAAGCCTTCTACGTGAGGGCCAGTGTCCTGGAACAGCTTCCACTCAGTCCAAGAATCGAATCCTGGCACTGGAACCTACTAGCCACAACCTAGAGCAAGTCACTTCCCTATCCCAGCCTCAGGCTTGCTCAGGTGGCAGTTAGAACATGAAGGTTTAGCTCAGGGTTTTGTTGTTTGATGAGATCTTGCATAAACTAGTGCCCTGCACATATGTAGCTCTGTCTGTTTTGTGATACTGGGGATTGAACCCAGGACCTTCTCATTGAGCTACATCCCCAGCCTTTTTTTATTTTCTATTTTGAGACGGGCAGGGTCTTGCTAAGTCACAAAGTTGCCAGGAAAGGCTGGAACTTGCAACCCTCCTGCCTCCACCTCCGAGAGTGCTGAATGTAAAAGCGTGCACCACCACACCTGGGTCCGTGAAGGGCTGTTTAAGTGGAAGCAGTGTTAGTCATCTTGGCACCTGTCCATGCAGCACTGGCTGTGAAGGTGTGGACTTTCATGCATGTCTTGAAGTGATTGAGCTTGTGAGACCATTGCCCCTGACAAGGCTGTTCTGTAGTAGAAGGCCACATAATTGTGTCTATCCTCTGACTGTACAGTAGCCTCCCTATGTTGCCCAGTGCTTTGGTCCACAAAGCTGCATTTGTCTCCGGCACACAGACACATTTGCACCCTGTAGCTGGATCTTGCTTTTCTCATTGGACACCAAAGCAGTGTTTCTCGAGTTTGTAACCCTCCTTGCCTGTTTGCCAGGGAGGCTGAGGACCCCGAACTTCAGTGTGAGGCTTCATGAGCCACAGCTAGTGTGTGTCCTTCCTTGAAACCTCCCTCCCATCTCCTGGACTGGAATCTGCCTTCAACCTTGGTCCTCAGTCTTGGACCCACTTGGCCAACCTAAAGGGCCGACTGCCAACAGCATTGTATGGAATTGCTGGCTCATCAGAGGCAGTCTGGTAATATTGAGGCCCAGCTCCTGGGGAGGGCTGTTCTGGCAGTGCCTGCCACTGGAGCATCGTTCTTCTCTGCCAGCTTAACTTCAGGCCCTGCAGAGCTGGGTGTAACTCCCAGCCTAGCACACTATGTCCTTGAACAGCCCTAACCCTTGAGCACCAGTGCCATCCTTGGGAACACAAGGGTAGTGACACCTACTTAGGATAAGGTGCCACACCTGTGCCTCGCAGGAGCTCAGTGAGTCCATGGAGAAAGGCTTTGGGAGCCTCTTCCTTCCTAAAGCAGCTTAGGCTGATGCAGAGCCCATTGATGGCATGTGGGTTTGGTGGTGTCAGAGCAGTGCTGTGACAGATTCTGCCTGAAGGCATCTGTGCAGCAGCCATGGGATAGCTGTGCAGCTGGTTTTCAGACCCAGCTTCCAACTCCCAAGAGCTGCCTCAGTACTTCAGCCTGAACGACTCTGCCCACAGAATGGCTGTGCTGTGAAGGGGACCAGTGGGGCTTTTCTTGTATCTCGGATTCAAGTAGACCTCCGTGTTGGTAGAAGTATGAGTACTTCTGCCCCATAACAGCGGCCCAGCATGTTCTCTGCTGTAGCTTGGTGACTTGTTACAAGGCTCCCCAGATGTTAGCATTGTTTGACCCAGTTATTTTCTTCATCTGCCATGAAGCTGTAATCCAGCTGTCTTGGGACCGCAGGTGTTCATCACAGTGTCCGTTTGTAATAGCAAAGTCGGGTGTGTTTTCATTAACCAGGAAGAGGATTAAGTACATGTTACCTTCATCTATAGAACTGTTATGGAAATCTTGGAAAGAAATGCACAGAGACACAGAATTTGGATAAAATAATAACTTTTCTTCTCATGAGTGGACGGAACGGGAACGCCAGAATCCAGTCTGGTCAATATCCACCCCCTTTGTTCAGCATTTCCCTTTTTATATCCTTTTTAGCCATTATCTCATCCCTAGTGGTCTTTCATATGTAAATACAATTCCAGTTCCTATTTACAAGTCACAGACACAAGATAGGCCATATACATTGTAAATTCACCCTGGCCTGGTAACTTTGTTAGGTTAATGAAGTTACTGGTTAGAGTCAGATAATCTTCACCTTAAACAAGGAGTTACAGGAAAAGCAAATCTTAAAAGAACACATATTTTATTTCTACAACTACCTTAATATTCAGTCTATTAAGTTATCTAAAACATTTCCGTATCAGAACTAAATATTACATAGCTCTACACAAATCCTGAAGATGATCGACAGAATTATATAAGTACCCTCCCAACTATATCAAGGGCAAAGTGCTTCGGAAAAGATTAGTGTCAGGTAAAAGGGCCGAAAACCAAGACCAGACCAGGCCACAAAAAGCCTTTATTAGGGGAATAGATCTGCTGGGCTGTCTCTGAACAAAGGAGAGACAAAAGCAATATGGCTGGGGCAGGGAGAGTCTTTTATAGAGACTGGGGTGGGGTTTGTAGGGGCTGAGGTGGGGTTGAGTAAGGTAGTGACTAGGGAATGGAGGAGCCAATGATGTCACTAGATGGTAGGAAGTGACCGAGTATTAGGTTACTTTCCAGGCGGGAACAGGGTCATGCTGGGAAGAAGGGTTTGTTCTTTGGTGGGAGCAACCATCTTGGCATGATGTCACACAGGGGAGGGGGCAAGGCATGATAGGAAGAGGGCAGTTACTATACATAATAACTGCTGAGGTAGTGGGAGACCTATCAGTTAGCAGGAAAGATGCCAAAATGTTAAGATCTGTCTGAGTGTTTTTAAGTTCTTCATGTAATGGCTGTATGGAGATCAGCCATAATTAAAAGCTGGGATTGGAAAGGATCCCTGCTGCACACCACACCCAGATAAGAGCAGAGGAGAAGCACTTTTACTTGATACACTTATGTTCTTGGGGTTTTTTACACACCTATTTTAGGGTTTTTTGTTTTGAGACAGGATCTCACTCTGTAATTCAAGCTGGCCTTGAATTCACTCTGTGGTCCAGGCTGACCTTGAACTCAAGCAGTACTCCTACCTCAGCCTCCGGAATCCTAGGATTATAGGTGTGCACCACCATGCCCAGCTACATATCTGTCTTACTTTTTAAAAAGAAAGAAAATGACCAGTATCCAAACCAAGTCATGAAATGCACCCTGCTGTCATTGAAGGAATTCAGTGGAGCCTGGAAGGACTCCGAGGCCCACACAGGACCTGTAGCGGTGTCAGTTCTAGCTCTAAGTCACTTGGCCTCAAACAGGCTTGGGAATGAGAGAGTTCTGGAAGCACTTTCTTCACAGCACCAGCATAGATGGGGCCAAGCCTCTGCGCCATCTAATTTGTCTCCTCCTAAGTGGGCTGTTGCGGTCACCCTGCTTGTCTTCCTTCCCTCTTGCCTGCTCCATACATCCAGAGGCCTTTCCTGGTAATGAACATCAGCCATTGCCCCAGGTACCGAGGCTATTTTAATCTATCTGCTTCTCACAAAAGATGCTTCTGCATCATGGGCTCGTGTGAGCTCAGCCCAGGGTGCTCAGTGTTGATTTGAGCAACCAGGGCTTGGGAAAGCAGAGCACTTCACAGAGCTGGAGAGGTAATTGTTGTCCCCTCTCAGCCTGGCCTCACAAGCTCCAGGCCTCGTCTGGTATTTATAGTGCTGCTTTCTTTGGTGAGGCACTTTAGAACAGACTAAAGTATTACAGCTGGAGATTATTTCTTGGCCTCTTACTCAGCAGCAAGGCCTGAGGGATTAGAGTACAGAAGTATATGTGCAACATAGGGGCCAGGTCCCCAGATCTCCCTTTGCATGGGACCCTGCCTGTTTTTTCTGAGGCAGCCTCACACAGGAAGCAGATCTTAGAGTTGCTGCAGAGATCCTCGTGTGTTGGCCAATGGCCACTTCCACAGTACTGGGCCAACTTCTGTCTTCTGGGACCACATGAGATTCTGCAGTGTGAGCAGAGCCTTTAGAGTCTATGTGGGCTCCAGAATAACTGGGTGGCCTGGATGCCACCAGGATCCCACTGGGGCCGGGGCTCTCTTGTGCTGTGGTGGTGGCCAGTGCAAGCCATGGCATAGGGGAGGCTTCCTCTCTGATCACAGCAGCCAGCCCAGCTGCTGCAAAGATTTCACTGAGCCCCAGGCTGGTGCTCTGGGCTCCTTAGAGCAGCAGCACATAGCAGTGGGGGTGGCCACCTAGGGCCATCACACCAGGGCTGTGCTCTTGTTTATTACTGTCATTTAGCCTAAAACAGCCAGTTTACAAACACGAAACCAAGGTTTAGGGCTGGTGATGTAGCTCAGTGGCGGAGTGCTTCCCCAGCACTGGAAAAAAAAAAAAAGAAAAAGGCCGAAGAGAGGTTAATCAAATGTCACAGGCTGCACTAGCAGCTGAGATTTGGAGCTGGGAATGCTGCTGAGACCCACTCTCTCTGCTCCTCTCTTATGGAGGCCACTTTCTGCTGGAGTTTCACAGGGTTTTTCTAGCAGGTGATGCACAAAGCATCTCTTTGCCTGGTGGTGTCATTTTGAGCCTCTGGTAGGGTTCAGGTACCGTCCACACCTCTAGCACAATGGACTTTGAATCCTCCCTAAGACCTGCAGGCAGGCATCACTGCCTGTTTTAGAGCTGCTGAAGACTGGGCCTGTGAAGCTAGGTAGCACCTGAACAGGTGTTACCGGGCTCCAGCGTGAGCCAGGCTTTTGTCCAGTAGGATTGGCACTGCGGGGACTGGTAGGGCAGGGGCCTTCAACGGGGCAGTGACTGGTGACCAGTGTGCCGAGAAAGAAGGAGTGACACGTGTGCAGAAGGCAGGCCCTACTCTTTGGCTCTTGCCTGCCCATCCCTGTCTTAGCCTATCAGCCTCAGCCTCATCAGAGCCACTGGTATGCAGAAGCTCACAGGACTGAGGCACAGCCAGGGCTCTCAGGAGACTTCAGGCCGAGCCATGGAGTGTTGTAACTCTGCCTTCCTTTCCAGGCTGTGAATTTTTCAAGGAATATAAGGACCGGGATTATATGGCTGAAGGGCTCATATTTAACTGGAAGCAGGTATGCTCAACAGCGTTTGGCCTGGTCTCAGTGTTTCTCTGTGAAGGGAGGCTAAGGAGAAGTTACTTTCTCAGGGGAAATACCTACAGTATCCATCCTTTCCTATCTCTTTTGTTGACTGAGTGAGTCTGATGTGTCTCTTCCCCTTTTGCTTGTGCATGCTTGTTAAATTATCATATGTACTTCTTTCCATTATTTTCTTTCTTCTTTTTCTTTGTTGTTGTCGCTATGTTGGAGATTGAACCCAGAGCCTTCCCACCAAGCTACATCCCCATCCCTTTTTTTACTACTTTTTCACACACATACACACACACACACACACACGCACACACACATACCCCTGTACCAGGAAACAAACTCATGACCTTTTGCTTGGTTTTTGTTTTGTTTTACGACCTTTCACTTGGGAGGCAGGTGCTGGTGCCCCTGAGCTAAATCCCCGGCCTTCCCATCTCTTTTTTAATTCTTTATTTTCTATTTTATTTTGTCCAAGCTAGGCTCAAACTTGTGATCCTCCTTCCTCAACTTGCCAGAGTGCTGAGATTACAGATATGTGCCATTGTGCCTGGCTCTTCTTTTCCTTAAAGGCATTTTTTAGGGAGGATATGGGGAAGCCTTATCTCTCTCCTCTGCTGTCAGTGTGAAGTGTAAAGACCCAGAGCAGCGTTTTGTTTCTCTTCTCAGCAGGTGCAGGCTGAGGCTCCCACTGGAGGGTGGCTGGTCTTGCCTATCTTTGTGGCAGACCCTTCAGTGTGTGACAGGACAACTCCACTTGGCCACAGTGCTCTGGTCACCTTGGTTTTTAAGCTGTTGGTCCTGGTGTAGCACAAGCACCTGTCCCAGAGAGCAAGCGCTGTGAAAGGGGTGTCAGGGCTGTGATCTGCCTGTCACCACAGCCTCCTCTGGTGGCCAGTCCATATCTCACAGGTGTCACTCTCTCCTTAGGACTATGTTGATGCTCCTTTGAGCATCCCTGACTTCCTGACCCACTCTCTGCACATTGACTGGAGCCAGTATCAGGTGAGCATCTGATTGGGCAGAGAAGGCAGGGCAGGGCCTGGGGTACCAGGGTCCCCTTGGTGCTGCAGCATCTCGCAGTGCAGGGGGAGGAGAGACTTAGCTATTTAACTTTGTCTCTCCCAGCTTGTTCTTGGCCCAGAAAATCAAAGCTTTTGGAATGTGACTCATTGGAAGATGTATAGCCACCAGGGGACCTCATGGAGTTTGCTTTTCCAGGTCTGGGCTTTACTGACATTTTTCATTCTCCTTTTAAATGTGTATTCCGCTAGAGGAAGTGCAGAGCTGTTCACTTCATTGATAGGAACTTTAAAATGATTCCATTGTGTTCCTCTGTCACAGTCAGCACAGAAAGGACCCGACGTCCCATCCTGTTTAGTCCACACAGGCTGAAGGCCGCCAATAATCTCCCTTGCCACTTGCTTCAGACAGGACAGGTAGCCTTGTGCTTCCCCTGTTCCTGTGTGCTATGCGCTCTGCCCAGCTGCCCCTCTCGGCTTCCTCTGTCTGGCTGACACGCTGCCCTTCAGGATTTGGCTGTATCTACTTCAGGAAGACTTCCCTGATCCACCTCCTCTCCTGGACGCTTGTGTTTATGTTCCCATTCACTCTGGGCATATCTATCCTGGAATTTTCCACCAAGCTGTAGTCACTGATTTGGAGATCTTCTGTGAGCTCCAGGAGCTCAGGGGACTCACAGCTGTGTATCCCCAGCACAGAAACAGACAGGGCCTTGGGCTTAAAAGGCCAAGCCAGTAATAGGAGAAAACACCTGCTCCCTGCCATTACCCTTTCCCCAGGTCTGGAGCTCTCACCTGGCCTGGAGGTCTCCCCGGCTCGGGCCCATTAGACACCTGCCCCCCACATACACACACCTCTGCTGGCCTAGTGCCAGGGAGGGCTGTAAAAGCAGAGGCTGTTTGTCTTGTCCCAGCCCCCAGTTGAAGGGCAGATACTCAGCAGCCATGTACATGTGCACAGGAGGGTGATGTCACAAGTCTCCATCAGATGTTTCTGCAGGGGAGGGGTTTTAGGGTGGAGAGCAAGCCAGTGTTGTTTCTCACCCAGAAGCCTAGAGAAGGAGCAGGTTTGGGAGACCGACAAGGCTGCCTCTGGTCCCAGTGGTCGGGCTGTGCCTGAATAGTCGGAATTGACTTCCTCCTCAGTTTACTGTATATGGAGGGCACCTGCAGGCCCTACCCTGAACTACCCTTCTTCAATTTCTTCCTCGAACCACTTTTCTTCTCAGGTGCAGACTGGGTACGGCAAGATCCTTGCCACATGAGGTGTGGGAGAAGGAGCTCTGCTGCACTGGGCTCCTCTCTCGGCCCTGCTCACCAGACTCTGTGCCCTTGAGCAGAAGCCCTCACATGCCCCAGAAAGCAGAGTTGACAATGCCTGTGGCAGTTGCAGCCAGGTGCAAATGTTAGCCCATTGTGAAAGTGTCCCTGGAAGTGAAATGCCAGGTGGTTGTCATGGTACTGAGGAAGCGGGCTGCTGCTAGCTGACTCCGGGGCAGGAAGGTGTTCAGGTTGGCACATTGCAGGAGCTTCTCCCATGAGGCTATCTCTTCAGTGTTGCCTGGCCACTGTGTCTCCCTGGGCCTCCTATCCTGTGTAATCTTCAACCAAGGGTGAGTGCTGCCCTTTCTGCCCCTCAGACTATAGTCCCAGGGCTCCCTCACCTCCACCTTTCAGGCGATCTCATCCTCTGTCCACTCCTGGCTCTTGCTTCCAGGAGTGCAAAGCTGGGACCCTCTGACTTAGTTCCTTTTCTTGTTGCAGAGACAAAAATACCTAGTACCCAAAGTTAAAAGAGGAGACGTTTATTTAGCTCACAGTTTGTACAGGTTTCGGTTCATAGTTGGCTGGCTTCAAGGAAGGGTGGCACAGCAGAGGGGCATGTCAGAGCAGGCAGGCAGAAGGCAGCAAGCCAGCAACAAAACAACCAGTGACAAGCTTCTTTCTGTCCCTTATATCTTATCCAGGCTACCCATCCTTAGGGTGTAGCAGCGCATCCTTAATCCTAGCATCACATCCTTAATCCCAGCATCACACATCCTAGATCCAGCCACCTCTAAAAAGCCCTGCATAAAGCTTTGGGAGAACATCTATGACCGTATGGGGCTTTGGAGGGACATCTAGTCACAAGCCATTGTAGTCTCTTTGTGACCCCCAACTAACCACTCTGCGAGTATCCTTTCTGCAGCCAGCCGTCTAAGATGGAGTCGGCATAGCCTACCATCTACCCTGGTGCTCAGACCTGTCCCCTAGTGCTCTCGCCATCAGTGCTCTTCCCCCCAGGAAACTCCCCAGTCCTGCTTTGTTCCTGTGTGCTGTCTAGGACAGACCTCTTTCACCTCAGAGCAGACACCACACATCTGAGCAGGGGCCATCCTTAAGAGTAACCGGAAATAGTGAACATAAGGCACTAGTTAGAGCCTGGCAGATAGTATACACTCAGCTGATAGAGTGGGGCCACCATTGTCAGCCCTGTCTTAGAAGCCATCATGGACCTACCTCACATGTTCCTTAGCACACAGTCCATGGCCCCTCTCCTGACCCGCCCAGTTCAGTCTGGCCTGGCATGTTCATGGTCCCTTTTTACCCATTCCTAGCCATCAGAAGGCCTCCTTCCAGCTCCTTTCAGGAAGGGTACTCTTCCCTGTCAGAAACACATCTCCTCCCTCCTCTCTTGTTCACACTTGCCCATATCATCCCCCCAAAAAAACCACACAGGCATGGCTCTCTTCCTTCTCCTGTGAACTTGTGTGGCTGGGGTCATCGTTGACACCTTTGTGACCCCCAGTGCCAGACCCACAGGAGCCAGACACTTTGCTGACGGCTGAGTGAGGGAATGAATGAATGAGTAGCAGGAGCAGTCCTGGGTGTGCACGTGTCTTGCTGCTCTCTAGTAACCCAGTGAGCCCCAGACTCATGTCTTTGCTCCAAGCCTCTTGGGCTTTGCTGTCCCCAGGCTGGCCCTGACCATGGCTGGCAATAAGAAACATTCTGCAGGGGCTTCCTACTCCCTGAGCCTTAGAGAGACAGAGACACCAAAACAGCCTCTGCCCTCCAAGGGCTCAGTCTAGGAAAAGACTTACCTGTCACCTACATGGTGGGTTTTGATCAGTGTCCACAGAAGACAACCCATAGAGATGATAAAAGAGCTGGGCCTGTGGAGGTCGTGTAGGAATTTGCCAGCCAGAACAAGTACTGTAGGCACGGAAACATAGGTGAAGTGCAGTGTTTCTTGGCTCTGCTCCCAGAGATACTTTCATGGTGTGCATAGGGTGAGTCAGAGGTACACCTGGACTGAGTGTGCCCCAGGCCCTGGGTCCGTGCAGCAGTGCTATTAGACGTGTTTCTTTTAAGATAGAGCCTATGTAGTTCAGGCTGGCCTTGAACTCATGGGGATCCTCCTGCCTCAGCCTCCCAAGTGCTGGGATTATAGGTGTGTGCCACCACACCTGGGTAGACCTGTGTTGCTTACTCTGCTATTAGGGCAGACTCCCCTACAGTGTAGCATGTGACTTTAGGCACATGGACTTCAGAGTCTGCCTTGTGTGGCCTTGAGCCTCCCTCCGTACTGTGGCTCTTCACTCAGCTGTAGACACGTACACCTCACCCTGACCATTGGCACTTTTGTAGCTGCCTCCTCTGGCCTTCATGCTGCATGGCTCCTACCTCCTGCTCCCTAGAGAATCCCAGCTCTGTGGAAATCTCTTGGCAGATTGTGTGAGTGTCTGACGCATTGAGCCAGATGAGGCGAGAGACCCTTACGCTTCTGCAGGTTATGACTTCATTAGCACAGCACTGCAGTGGCATCTCCCAAGCTACTGAAAGTGGGTCAGAACTCTCCAGGGCTGTGGGAGGGTCAGGTCTGTGAGCCTCTTTTTTTTTTTTTTTTTGTATTAAATTCTTTTATTGGTACATTGTAGGTATACAACACAATTACATTTCTCATTGGGAATTGTACCTTTATATAATGCATCTTGGTTCTTATTTTTTCCCCATTCCTAGCCCTCCCTTCATGCCCTCCACCCTTCCCTGTTTACAAAGACTTTATTTCCATTTTTTCCATTTCTCATCATTTTTTCCTTTCCCTTCTTTCCTTTCCCCTGTGCCTCCCACTACCCCTACCCCTTTGGACCTTTTATTCCTATTTTACATTATCGATTATTCTGTGAGCCTCTTTTAAATTCCCAGGAAAACCATTGCAATTACAGGTGCCGTGTTCCCCTCCCCCCGGGAAGTGCTTGAGCTGGTGTTGCCACCCTCCCTGCACAGCCCTGTACGAGGATGGACAGTCATGTCCTCAGAGAACAGAGGCTGTCCCCAGCCAGGGAAGAGTTCCTCAGAACTGGGTCAGGCCCCGCTGTAGAATCCTAGATTCCGAGTGGGCTGCCTCAGAGCCTCTGGTCTAGACTTCCCTCTTGGACCAGAACCGAGGCTCTGTTCTCTGTATGGCTTTTGCTTATTTCCCATCTTCTACCTCATGGGCTTCCTGTTAGAAAAGATTTTGTCTGCTCAGCAGATTGCATTTATTATTCATCAAAAGACAATATGTAGTGAATAGCAGTAGAAAGTTAGCAGAATGTGTTTGAGCAGGCTGATCTCTTCACTGGTTTCTGTTGTGTGGTGAGTGAAGAAGGGATGACTGACCACTTGCAGATACTGCCACAGGCATAGGGCTCTTTGTTTACCTTATTGAGTCCTTAAACAGCCACGCTGGGCCTCTAAGGTTGGGGGCTGTTGAGTGCAGCTATTTACATCTTCCACTGGAGGGATGAGATAGCATCCCCTGCACCTGGAGAGATAGCAGCAGCTCTCAGCTGGGGAGTGAATGTCTTAGAGTGTCTGGGATTTGAGACCTCTGGCCTGAGACCAAAAGCTTTGGTGCCCAGGAATGGCATTTACCTTTTTTTGTGGTGCTGGAGATGGAACCAGGGCTTCATACATACTAAAGCATGTGCTGTCTCACAGAGCTGCACACTCAGCCAGCATTTTATTTTTTAAAATATCCTGTAAGTCTCAGGATCTATTCCTAGACCCCTGTTCTCTCTGTTTTATCCAACAGAGTTGGGACCTGGTGCAACAAACACAAAACTACCTGAAACTGCTGCTTTCCATAGTTAACAGTGATGGTGAGTCTCCGAGCCCCAAACTGTTGTGTCTTAAGGGTGTTCCCAGTTTGTGCTACCCCAACTGGGATCTGGTGGGGTCACACACTGCCTGTTGTGCTGTGGGAGAAGAATTGAGAGTCCTAGACTCCCTCGGGCTAGGCCAGGTTTGTCCATTGAAGCTTCCCTCCATGTGCTTACAACCCTGGAAACAAGGTAACATGTTACCTTCTGAGCCATACTCAGGATGGTGCCCCCCTCAGTTGGCATTTGAATTGTGCACCTTGGTGTTGGAAACAGAGTCAGGATGGGCCTCTCCTCCAGAAAAGGCTGAGGTGCCAGCATCAGTCCCAGTTGCCTATCCAGTCCACACAAGCCCATGGAGGCCAGCTCTGTGGGGTAGACAGCCAATTCGTGTGTGCTTTTGCTTGCTGTCCCTCGAACGAAATTTGCTCCTTGCTTGAACAGGTAGACCTGTTCAGATCTGTAGAACCAAAAAGGTCCATCAGCAGAGCCAAACATCTGATACAAAGATTCTCTCCCCGTTTCTCAAAACCGCTGTCTCAGTAGTGTCATGGCCAGTGGCCATTGTGGACTCTTCCTGCTCCTCATCCCCCCAGGGGTGATGAGTCTGAGCATGTGCTCATCGCCTACTGCAGGTCAGATGCCCTTTCTGTGGGCAGAATGGTATGTGTTAAAGAAGTTCCATGCCAGCCCCTGGAGGTAGGCTATCCTATGTCTGCAAGGGCTTCTGGAAATTGTGTCTGGAGCACTAATGGCATTAGCCCAGGATACCACAAAGTTCCAACAGCCCTACACAGTGAAAAGTTATCCTACCTCCCCAAGAAGAAGAGAAAAAAATATTTATAGTGCCCTCCCAAGAAAGGCCAGGCAAGGAACTGTCCAGGCTGGACCACTTCCCCAGAATCCCACTGGGAACTGTGGCCAGGAAAAAGGATGCTTTGAAACAGACAGATTGCCCACACCGGCCTTCTCAGGGACTAAGCTGGAAAAGAGCCTTGGGGAGGCCCCTGAGGAATGAGATGAGGGTGGCCTGGCTCCCTTCCTGGGCAGGGGCCATGATGCCTTCCTCTCATCACCTGTTTGATTCTCTCCGGGCTCCTGTCTTGGCTGTTGGAGTAGATGACAATGGGCTGCTGGTGCACTGTATCTCAGGCTGGGACCGGACCCCCCTCTTCATCTCTCTCTTGCGCCTTTCCTTATGGGCTGTAAGTATGGGTGGGGTACCTTAGGATAGCCACAGGATGCAGGGAAGATGTGGGGTGAGGGGCCCACTCAGCAGGTGTCGTGCTTAGCCCTGTTCCTGTGACATCACCGGGTCTGGAAATGTGTTCTACCTTGGGATGGAGAGCCGGCCATGTTGTGAGAGGGCAGCTTTCTGATCTCATTGTATCTCCATGGTCTCTCCCAGGATGGGCTCATCCACACGTCCCTGAAGCCTGCCGAGATCCTCTACCTGACTGTGGCCTATGACTGGTTCCTCTTTGGGTAAGCCTTCGAGGGCCTCAGGTTGGGGTGAGACAGTGTTTGCATTTCTGCATGAGCAGTGTGGTGGCTCCTGAGTGAGGGTCAGAGGTGAAAACAGCTCCACCTCTGAAGGACTGAAGATGCTGCCTGGCCCTACTGGCTGCCCTGGTCCAGAGACAGTCTATCCCTGGGGGCTGGGTCCTCCTCCACCACAGCTTGGTGCTACCCTTGCTGACCTCCTCACCCTCCTTTTTCAGGCACATGTTGGTAGATCGGCTCAGCAAAGGAGAGGAGGTGAGTGCCCCTCACAGACTGTGAGCACAGCTTGGGCCTGGCTCAAGGGACAGAATGGCTGTCTGTGTGGTTGTCACATTGTGGGGCAGTTCCTTGGCCAGGGTGTGCTGGATGAGGTGGCCTGTGCTCTGCTCAGACTCTGGTGGGAAGAGCAGAGCATAGCAGCCACCGATCTGGGCTTCAGGGCCCCTTGGGCCCGGGAAAGAACACTGGCAGTTGGCATGAGCACTTCCTTTGTATGACCTTCCATCTCCCTCCCTCCCTCCCTCCCTCCCTTCCTCCCTTCCTTCCTTCCTTCTGGCGACCTTGTTTCCTGTACTGAGCTCTGGAGCCAGTTTCATCCTCACAGCTGAAACAGAGGCACCTCTGTCTTCTCTGTCTGCCCAGGGCAGTCTGTGCCCTTCTGTAATGTGGGACTGCCTGCAGGGGCCTCTTTCCTCCCAGTGCTCAGTGCCCTCCTCTTGGCCCCACCCCCCAGCTTCTGCAGCTTCCGCAGTCTTTACCTGCTCAGTGTGCTGTTTTCCCAGCACGTGCACCTGGAGTCAGGCTGGAGTGTGTCCCTGGCTGTCCTGCCTGTTTCCAGGGTGACCTTGGGCAGTGTGCTCAACCTTGAGTCTCCTGGTGCCTGGCCAAGAGACCTTATCCCCCCAGCATGGAGCATCCCTGGTAGTAGCACATTCTTCCCCCATCTCTGTGAAGCATCTCTCTCCTCTTTCACCCTGAGCCTGCCTCCTTCCTGGGCATCTATTTTATCTCACACCGCTTTCTTTTGTTCCCCCTCTCAGCTGCTCCTCTCCCTTCCAAATCCCTTCTTCAGAGCATTTATCGAAGCTCCCAGGCCTGCAGAGCTCATAAGCCTGCTCCTCAGAGGCCTCCATGAACTCTGTCAGAGGCAACGACTTTGGAATTGAAATCTGGGTGGAAAACCTTTGTAGCCTCTCGATTGGGGATGTTGCCAGAGCTTCAGGACATTCTGTCCACCACACCATCTCCCTCCACCCCTAGAAAAGGCCAGATGCTGCCTTCAGACACACGGCAAAGATGGGGCTGAGTTCAGCCCTTGTTGCATCAGCTAAAGCAAGTCTTTAGCTGGGGGCTTGGGCGTGGGCTTTTCTCTTACCTCCCCCTGGCACTGCCAAACAGGCCTATTAGTTAAATACATCTCTCTTCCCACCCCTGCCTGAAGACTAGAAAGTCTGACGAAGAGCTCTTTAATTTTATGTAGCATAACATTTTCATGAGGGCCTGATCTGGCACCTTTTCATGCCCTGTGCATGCAAGGGGCCCTGGCCAAAGCTTCAGGGATCAGTGGACTGGAGCCTCCTGTTGTGCTTCCTGGAGGCCCCTGGACTAGGGTACTGGCTGAGGTCTTGCTTGTGTGGATGGGGTGTAGCCAGAGGCCAGAGGGTCCTGCTGCCCATCTCCCACTTAAGACCTGACCCTCACAGCTCTAGACCAGGGCCAGCTCCCCCACCCTAGGCCTCCTGATCTTGTTTGCAAGTACCCGCAAAGGGACTCCCTTCCCCTCCGTTGTGTTCCTGCTGTGTCATTGCTCCCTGTCCCCCTCATCTCCCTCCCTGCTGTCCTTCCTGTCAGCCTCCCTCTCTGAGCTCTTAGATGAGAAGTAGGGAAGCTACTGTTCCCTTCATCCTTTTTAACAGGTAAGAATGTATGTTGCATTTGAAGAGGGTTCAAGCACTCTGAATTGATCTCTTACAGTTCCCAGGAAGGAAACATCATCTTTCCTTGCCTGAGCCCAGCCCAAGGGCATCTGCCAGGCCCTGCTGAGCCCTCTCCACCACCCACACCATTTGTGGGCCAGAAAATCCAGCAGGAGGCCCCCCCAAACAGGCCATTCTCCAGCATGGAGATAGGCCAGAACAGCTGGCTGCCTACCCTGGGATTTGGCCACCTTGCTTCTTCTTACTGGGGGATACCATCTTTTCACGGTGTGCTGTTTTTGTCTGTCCTTCAGATTTTCTTTTTCTGCTTCAATTTTTTGAAGCATATCACCTCTGAGGATTTCTCAGCCCTGAAGACCCAGAGGTAAGCAACAGAGCTTAGTAAGAGAAGCTCATGGCACACTGAGAATGGCTGCTTCACCGAAGGTGGGGTCTCACCACCTTACTAGGAGTACTAGGTACTCCTTTCCCTACCAGGTACCCCTGGGTGAAGAGGCTCTCCTGCCTGGAGTCCCACTAGCAGAAAGGCTCAGGCAAAAAGTGGTCTCTGTGACCGAGTGCGCAGGGTGTGTTACTGTAGGAAGGACCCCCCCCACTCCCCTGACCCTGATCTGATGGTTGCCCTTTGGGGACCACCAAAGAACACCTGTCTGCACACCAGGCAGCCCCATCATGGAGCAGAAGTCTACTTCCAGCCTAGAAGGTGCAGGCAGCTTGGCTGGCAGTTGCTTTAGTCCCCCGTGAGACTTTTCTGAGTTCATTTGCCTTCCTGATCCAAGCTTGTTGTATGTTGGGCCAGACTTGGCCTCTGAGGGCAAGCTGATGAGAAGGTAGGCTGTGCTGGCCTCGGGATCCTGTACATGAGTGGCAGACAGAACCAGGTGGGCAGGACCTGCTCTATGAATTGTGGCAGATTGGAGCTGCTTTCCAGGATGGTGAAGGTTGGGGACAGGAGATCCCAGCTGGAGCTAGATTTCCCTGCTCTGGGTTCTCTTTCCAGGAGGAAGAGTTTGCCAGCACGGGATGCAGGCTTCACCGTGGAAGATATCTGCATGCTGAGTGAGTCCTGGGCCCAGCCAGTTTCCTTTCTTAGCACAGCTTTCTGATTGTAGACTCTGTCAGAACTGTTCTAGAAGCTTCTTTGTCCACCCGGATGTTGTAGGGGAGGTGGGGACCAACAGTAGGTAAAGACAGCGTGCTGACCAGTGGCCCTGACCTTTTTTCAGAGCGAAGAGACCGAGGCAGCACCACCAGCCTTGGCAGCGACTTCTCCCTGGTGATGGAGAGCTCCCCGGGCGCCGCAGGGAGCTTCACCTATGAGGCTGTGGAGCTGGTCCCTGGCGGAGTACAGGCTCAGGCAGCTTGGTGAGGGACAGACTGGCAGCTGTGGCGAGGTCTGCCAGCCCCAGGGAGTCCTAGGAACAAAGGGCACCCTGACTAAAGGCCTGGGAGCTCATCTCTGTCCCCTGCTGTCCCCACTGGGCCTCAGAGTCACCCGTCTCTTTGGTGAGGGGTGCTGCTGCTGATGGCCCAGGAGCAGAAAGGCCAGGGGGCTCCCTGTGGGACCAAGAAGCAGCAGCCGGTGGTAGGGGGAGGCTGGTATCAGCAGGGGTTTGTACAGGAGCAGGCACCCTGTGTTGTGTCCTGGGTGGCTGGGGCAAAAGATAGTGAAAGGTGTGTACAGGGCAAGAATAAGCACCGGTGAACTTGTTTGAGGGTCATTCCTCTGAGAACCCTTGCACACACTCAGGGTTTTGCATAGCATTGGCAAGAAGGGAGGGAGGCAGTTACTGAGTCCTCAGTTAAGAAGCATTTTCTAACATGCTGCCTCACGCTGGTGGGCTAGTGTGACTTGGACGCCACTGTCCTCCTTGAAGCCCAGCTCTTGCTGCCAGTACCCGTGAGCCTGAGGGAGGAGCACTGGTGCGGGAGATGTGAAGCTGGGCCCTGGACACAGGAAGGTTGTCGGGGGCAGGTCTCCGGCTGCCCTGCCAGCAGCCCTGCTCTTCCGCCACAGGAAGAAGAGTCACTCATCGTCACCACAGAGTGTGCTCTGGAACCGGCCACAGCCCACAGAGGACCGCCTGCCTTCCCACCAGGGGCTGATTGAAGCCAAGTCTTCCAGCTCCTCATCCTCAAACCATTCTGACAACTACTTCAGGATAGGTAGCAGTCCTTTGGAGGTCCCCAAACCCAGGTGAGGCCCTCCCCGGCCCCGTGGTGGAGGCAGCCAGTCTCTCCCTTCATACCTGAGCTGGTGTGTCAGGCAGCATCCCAGTGGGGTTCCCGAACATGTGGCCTGCAGGGCAGCAAACCTTGGAGGCCAGAGATGGATGAGCTCATGGGCCCACCATTTGGACGATGGGTTAGTGTTTGGGCACAAAAGAAAGGCTGATGCCTGGAACAGTTTGATATTCCTTCCTAGAGCCCTGGCAGAACCCAGGGGCATCTGGGAAGTGCTGCAGTGTTTGTGATGCAATGGACAGGGAGTAAGGGCTGCCTCCACATGGAATCCAGGTCCACCCAGAATGGGTGAAGCAATGAGTCTAGACACCCTGGGCCCCTCTGGCTCGCACATTCTATGCTGAAGCTGGTGGGGCACAGAGAGAACAGATAATAGGAGCATGGCCGGGTGTGTGTGGCTGTGAGAACCCACACTGGGAAAGAAGCAGTGCTGTCAGGATGGTGCCTTCGAGCACTGGGGTGGTGTGCTTCCTGGGAAAGGTTAAAGCTGAGCTCTGGGCCGAGGTTCAGATTGGGGGATGGTCTGGCACTTGGGGAAAGCCTTTGCTAGGAGACTGTCACAGTTTCCATTTATGCCCCCAAGGAACGAATCCTGTGAGTTGCTTTGTTTTCTAAAGCTTTGAGAACTGTCTAGCCTTTCTGGTGAGAACAAAGCAGTTCAGGACTTAAGAGGTCCCTAATAAGTTTCAGAGTAAAGGGGCCTTTTACCAGGATGGGCATGAGTCCCAGACTCCAGCCCACCTCTGTCACATTATGCCCATGTGACCTTGAGACTCAGTTTCCCCCTTAGCAATAGGCCTGTTACAAGAAGAAACTGCAAACCTTTTGGAACTCTGTACCTCGTGATCATTTGGGTTTTCTCTGGGCGAAAGCAGACAGTGGAGGAAGAAGGGACAGAGGAGCTGTACTTAGTGGGAGCTCAGGACTGTGCTGGCCAAGAGGTTGGTGTGCTTGCCCTGCAGAAAGCCCTTTCAGCCACTCAGTGTTTCTACTGCTCAGTGTTGAGCTAAGTCTGTAAACCCAAGGCCACAGGCTCTGCCCCACAGAAGCGTTGGTGGGTACAGCAGAGCAGAACAGTGTCAGGCAGACAAGTCCACATTTCCATGCGCACTTGCATCCTGCATGTGAGGTTACCCTGTGTGCCTTCTGCCCTGCCTCCTTGTCATGCTCACCTGGCTGTCCTCAGGGCTACTTCTGGCTGCGGTGGCACTGTGGGACCTTTGAAGTTATGGGCTGCGGTTCTTCCTCATAATCCCTGCCTCTTTTTCTGCCTGTGCAGTGTTGCTGGAAAGCTGGGAGGAAATCAGAAGATTCCTCCTCTTGTCTGGGTCCTACCCCATTCTGACTGCAAGCTTCAGTGAGCAGCACTCTGTCACCCTTCTCCACGCCCCAGCTTTTTGCCAGTCCCTTCTTCCTTCCAAAAGGTCCCATTTTTCAACCCAGTGGTAGTTTCTTTCCATCTCACGAGTGGTCTGCCTGCAGTGGGTCAGGCTCTGTGGCCCACTGGGGGTGGCCACCAGGACCCCTTAGAGGCTGAGGAGGTTTGGGTGCCTCCACGGGTGTCAGCCTGCGGGGCTGGGCCGCATGGACACCCAAGCTCCAAAGGCAGGGGAGGGTCCTATGCTGCTTTTGACCCTTCTGTGCTATATTCTGGGAGAACCATGCTGGCTTGCCAGGCCACAGGAGGAGTCTTCTGAATTGGAGCTCTGTTTGCCAGAGTTTTTGAAAGGCAAGATTATCCAGATTTGGAGCATTCTAATTTTGTGTTTCCATTAGCATTAAAATTAATTTCAATTCTTTTACTTAAAGTGCCTGAGGGATCCTGTCATTAGTTTCTGTACCTCATATGTAACAGTAGCCAATCAGATCTTTAATGCAGCAGGAGGCATCGTGTGGAAAGAAGCCCTTTGGTGCAGCTGTCTGTGACAGCCACAATTCTCCTCTTAATATGAACCCTCCAAGAGTTAGCTGCTCTTGCCCCTTCCAAAGCAGGACTTCCTATGGACGGGGTCTGCGGGGTTTGTTCAAGTAAGAGTGTTGTCAGCTGAGGGAATTCCTGTGGGGAGCTGATTCTTTTGTTTGTTTTTTGTGGGTTTTTTCTCTTTTGTTTATTTTTGAGACAGGGTCTATGTGGTCCATGCTGGCCTTGAACTCACTATGTACCCGAGGCTGGCTTCCATCTTGGAGTAATCCTCCTGCCTCAGCCTCCCAAGTGCTGAGATTACAGGTGTGCACATGGTGCTGGTTTTACCATGTCCCAAAGCACATCCCTCACTGGAAAGGCTGGTGGCTTTCTCGTTGAATTAGCTGCCACAGAAGCATCAGCCACAGGGCTTCAGGGGCAGGATCAGTGCTTGGAGCTCATTTGCCTACCCCGTCTGCACAGCTCCAGCACTGAAGGTCCTGCTCTGTCTCCTCTGCAGTCAGGTACCATCAGGGCTACAGGAGTACCTAGATTTGCAGTGTTGGGCCCGGGGAGGGGTGGGGCCACCACTGGAGTACAGCAGAAATGCTGAAGAGCACAGAGACTTGGCTGGATTGAATAGTAGAACCAACTTCCATGGCCCTTCAGTGGTTAGCTGCTCCCTAGTCATGGCCTCCTGCTGACTGCTCCTTACATTCAGTCAGCTCTCTCTGCAGCCATGTGGTGAAGTAGAGGTACTAGGCTGCTACCAGCAGCACTTGGGTTCTAGTCCCATTCTGATCTTGTGAGAGGCTACTGCTCTAGCCCTGGCAGGGACAGTGAGGAGCCAAGGGCAGTCCCAGTCAGGGACCTGGCAGAGTCAACATGGAGCCCAGAGGTGTCTCCTCGGGCTTTGACACACACGTGTGCTGTGTTTCAGAGGCCAGGCTGGCCAAGGCCCATGCTGTGCACCTGGGCCCAGGCCAAGGTTCCAATGTGGGAAACATCTGGGATGGGGGTGAGGAGGAACAGCGTTCATGGGTGACATAGAGGCTCCTTGAAGCACAGGATTCTAGGACCTAAGTGCTAGTTTCTTTGTGACTCTTGACATGTCACTTGACTTTGGGTTTCTTATCTGTGAAATCGGGAAGGTAGGTGACTCTGAGGGCTCCTTAGTTGTGTACATCAAGCCATCCATGCAGCCTTGTTAGGACAGACACTTCAAATACAAGTAGCAGAAAGTGCATTTCACACTAGCTCATGCAAGGGAGCATGGGAGCCACTGCAAGGTGGTCTTCAGGTCGGATGTGCCTGCTTGTTCCACTCCACTGCCCTGGGACAGTACCTTGCTTCCTCATCACAGGTTGAAAGCTCTGCACTTGACTCCAGCTGGAGGTCACGTGCCTATCCATGAGGCCCCCCCCACCCTGTACTAAAGAAAGGGCATGTTATTGGCTAGGATGGGCTTTGGTCAAATCTCCTTTCACAGCTTTACCCTTTCCAGCTGTGTAACTGAGGAAAAATCATGTTCCTTCTGAACTCAGTTATTTTTAATCACATTTTTAAAGTAGGAATAATCCATCCCCCATAAGTTTGGGTTTTAGTGAGATAAATGCAGCACCTACACACAGTAAATACTCAGCCTTTGCACAGATGTTCAGTAAACTATAGCAGTGGTTGAGGACCTGTCCTTATCAATCACTTAACAACAGGCCTGTGCATCACATCAGGGCACCAGGCAGCTGGGTACAAGGCCAAGCCAGGCACCCCACCCAAACCTGCCGCCTCTTGCTCAGTGTGCTTGTGCCCCTTCCAGAAAGGACTGGCTGGAAGACCATGCACCTGAGTTGACCTCGGCAGGGCATCTGGAAGCAGCCTCTCAGCCTACCGAAGAAAGGCCTGGCAGTATCAGGCTAAGAGAGCCGCCTCCTGAGCAGAGGTCCAGACCCCACACCTATAGGATGTAGCCCTGCACTCCAGCGCGAGGCTTTCCTAGCTGTCCAGAGCTGGAAGCAGAGAAGGGGGAGCTTGCTCTCCCTCTCCACCTGCATTCTGTAGGAGCACAGGGCAGATGTTCTGGGATCCTGTTAAAACTGCTTGTGTAGAGGCCGGGGATTTAGCTCAGTGGTGCCACCGCCTGCCTTGTAAGAGCAAGGTCCCAAGTTCGATCCCCAGTACCAAAACAACAAAAAAAAATGCTCGTGTAAACCTGTGGCCTTAGCTGACTGGAAAGACTTTCCTCGTTCCGATCTTGGGGTTCAGGTCCCTCCTCTGTGACTTGTTCCTTTGACTCTGTGCCCCTAGCTAGCTGGCCCAGGTTGGTATTTGGGAGCACCTGTCTACCTTGATCCCTTGCTCTCACACCCAGGAGCTGATGGTCACTTTGTCACTGTTCTTTGACAAAAACCTCAAGTAGGAAAATTCATTTAGAAGCTATGTTTTTATTCTTTAAAAACTCAGGATCCAGCCGGGGGTGGTGGCACATGCCTGTAATCCCAACACGCAGGAGGCGGAGGCAGGAGAATCACTGAGTTCGAAGCCAGCCTGGGCTACATAGTGAGACCCTGTCTCAAAAAAAAAAATCAGGATCCACCAACAGTGGCTGCTAACTGAGCACTGCTTTCTGCCCCATGGAAGTCAGAATCCTGTGCTGCCTGTACCACCCAGTCCCAGAGCTGCCCCTTGCTGTACTGGGTTCGCTTCTTGCCCGGTGCTGCTGCTTGAGCTCTAGGAGAGCAAAGGAGGTGACCATCCTGGGGAAGAGCTGTAACTGTGTCCCATGGTCGGGATTTCCCTCTGACAGCCTTGGGGGAGTGGCTTTGGGGGTATAAGAAACTCCCTTGTCCCTGCCCTGAGCACCTCATCCATCCAGCATCCTCACCCCTGCTTGTGGAGACTTTCCCCCCCAGCAGCCAGAGCTGGAAAGAGGCTCTGCCCTATAGCTGGCACAAGAGATGTGTCGCTGGCTGCAGGCCCAGCAGGCCCCTGAGGGCAGGCCACTACTGGGAGGCTGTCTGATTTACAGGCTGCCTTAGCCGGCTAGGTTTCCCATCTAAGAACAAGGAAGTCCTGCTTTGTAGGGCCCCAGGGGCTTCCCTCAGGCAGCAGAGGGCACCCGTTTCTCAGTCAAGGTGCCTCACACTCCTTCCAGAGTGGAGCAGGAATGATGGACGTGGCAGGTCTTGCAGTGTTGCAGGGGATTCTGATTTGTGGCAGCTTGAATGTAGAAAACCACCTGTCTCCCCAAGTCTGAGGTGGTTCTGTTTCAGCACAGATGTGCAGTCAAACTCAGGTTCTCTAGCTGTGAGACCTTGGGCAAGCATCTCAACTTGTCTGGGCTTCCATTTCCTGTCTGGAAGGGGCTGTTAAGGTTCACTAGAGCCATTTGTCTGGCCAGAGCTGCACTCAGGCCAACTGTTTGAGGAGAAGCCTGGCCCAGTGGCTTCTGGGGCTGTCACCTCAGACTGGGAGCCCTTGACACCCACCAGCTGGGTGGGCCAAGGGCCATGAGGGCTGCCCCTATCCCCACTGCATTTGGTGCTCTGGCCCTGTGTCTGGGTCCCCACAGGAGCACTTTCTCCTGCTGAGTTAAAGAATAAAGGGTCATGCTTCAGGAACAGCATTCTTCCGGGGCCTGGGATCTGGAGTGGGGGTACCTTACATCTCTTATCTCCTGCCCCAGCAGCTGGCTACCACCCAGGGCAGAGGAGAGGAGCTAGATGTGAGTGGGGAGGAGGTGGCAGCCATCATTGCCAGTGTGGCTTTTCTCCCACCACCCCAGACCTTCAGCAGGAAAAGGCCTGTTGAAACCATCAGGTTGCCTGCCTGATTCATCCCTTCCCTCGGCATAGCTGGAGTTGCTGGGTTGATGCTTCTGGCACTGCAGAAGGAAGAGGGGACCTCAGGACTCCCATCCTCTCTGCAATCTAGGTCACCACCTCCACAGTCCCCAGAGACTGCTCTCCTCCTTGCTGATAAGATCTCATCACGAAGGGTTCCGAGGTGCGCATGTCAGTGATCTGCCTTCTTGGGTCCTGGGTCCAGCCTTGCGCTCTTCCTGTGGGTGCCGTGGAGATGGCACTTGCTGTCAGCCCCAGGCAGGCACAGCTTGTCCCAGGCTTTGGACCTGGCTCTCCTCTTGTTACCATGCTTTGCTCTTGCTCTTGGCTTTTCTTTAAATCTGCGTCATGCCCGTCCTCAGCAGAGCCTTCCCTGTAGTCTCCTCTTCTTTCTCAGTCACTACCTCTCCAGCATTATTTGCACTTTGGAGACAGTGGCTGGCCTTCGTGCTCCCCACCCACCAGGCCTTGTCAGGCATGTGACTGACTGCATCATCTCCCCTCTCTCTTCTCTCTGCCCCAGATCAGTGGACCATCCCCTGCCCGGATCCTCTTACTCCACAGACTTTGGCAGCTGGCAGATGGTAACAGGCTGTGGCAGTATTCAGGAGCGGGCTGTCCTGCACACAGACTCCTCTCTCCCTTTCAGCTTCCCGGATGAGCTCCCTAACAGTTGTCTGTAAGTGTCTTGCTTGAGAAGGCAGGATACGCCCCTGCTCAGATGCAGTGCCACAAGCACTGGGCAGTGCCTGCCAGGGGAGGCAGAGATCTCTGCACCTGAGATGTGAAGGAGATCTCAGGGCTCCTCGGCAAGCGTGTTAGGGTTTGTGTTCGCTTTTCCCAAACTCTAAAACCCCTCTGCAGGTGTGTTGGGTGTACCCTGGGTAAAAGCTGGCTGGATTGTAACTGTAGAAGATTTTCTGTACAAGCTTTGCCTAATGTGAGAACCCTTTGAAACCAGAACAGTGGGGTAGTCAGGCAGGCAGGTATATGCTGGAGGCCAGAGCCAGAATGGCTCTTCCTGAGCAGAGACCAGACTGCCTCCACACCCTTGCCTTCTATTTTGCCTCTGGGTAAGAAAAAGAACTGGACAGGACTCTGGATTGAATGCTTATGGAGCCCTCTTCCTCCAAGCCTCCAAAGCAACTTCCACCTCTTGTGCTTCTGTCTGACCTGAGCAGCTGCCCCTGGGGAAGCCACCTGTCCCCTGCCTGTTCTGCCGCTTTATGGGTGTCAGGCAGGAGGAACCTCCGGTGTCCTGGGGAGCAGGGCCTGCTCCTTAGATGTGGCTGCCTGCAGGGGCCTTCGGCAAGCCATGCACTCCCCTCCACACCATGGTCAGATGGCAAATGCTGGGGACTCGGGAACCACTAGCACCAGAGCCCAGTGCTGCCAGGCTAGAGGCAAGGTGCTGTAGGGAGTTGGGGAGGAGGAAGAGCCAGCCAAACCTTGGGGTTCTGGGTCAGATGGCAAATGCTGGGGACTCGGGAACCACTAGCACCAGAGCCCAGTGCTGCCAGGCTAGAGGCAAGGTGCTGTAGGGAGTTGGGGAGGAGGAAGAGCCAGCCAAACCTTGGGGTTCTGGGATGCCCACCCTCCTAGGACTGTTCTGCAGCTGGGGAGAGCCTCTGAAGAGGGCCCCCAGGCTGGAAGTGAGAGCTCTTATAGACTTTTGAAGGGTAAAAAAGCACCTACATCTGGACTTTTCTGTAGGTACTCCCTCTCAAGCCCTCTCCAGGAAAGCAGAGACTTCCTGCTCCATTTGATATTGCCCTTCACTTCTCTAGAGTTAGCCCAGGAGCCAGGCAGCTCTGGCCCCAGATCCCCAGTCCGGAGCCAGTCACACAGTGCATTCCTAGCCAACCCTCCAGTTCTGGGAAGTCCCAGAGGATAGCTCAAGCTTGCATGACCTCAAGCCTACAAGATTGCAAGCTGGGATCTGCATCATTTCCTAGTAAAGTCACACAGTGGAGGGGTTCAGTGTTTGGTTTTCTTTCTTACCAGGGAAGCTTGGTCCAGACCCCAGCTGCTCTGCTCACCAGCTGTTTTGAGATCTCAGCTGTTACTTCTCAGAGCCTGTAAGCCTGGCTTGAGCTGCATTCCCATGCGTGCTGTGTGTTTCCACATGGGTCATGAACCCTCTCTGGGTGCTAGTTTTCTCATCTCTAAATAGGTTAGTCTCTGCCCCTTCTGCTTCCTAGCAGCAGGGACAGCAAGAACTCACATGTGTGGACCTTTGGCTGCTGCTCCTGTGAATGGAGACAAGTCCTTTTCTCCCTTGATGCTGGCAGGAGAAGCTGAGGGAACTGCACACAGCCTCTGGTCTGTGTGGAACCCGACTAGAAAGTAAAGGTCAGGGCCCTGTGTGCCCTAGATGCCAGCAGAGATGTCAGGGTTGCTCATGGTGTCACAGGAGTCCAGCACCAGCTCATCTCCTTGGTACTTCTGAGGAGCTGTTTGACTTTCCCTCCCTCAGAGCCCACTGCTTCTGTCTGCCTCTACCTGCCACCCCCAGTCTACTTCCCAAGGGTCCCATCTGTGCTTTCCACACTTGCCCAGGGCCCAGGACTCCCACTTGCTTCCCTAGCCCAGAGGCGTAGGCTCTCTGGGCTCAGGAACTGGGGACTTGGCTACTGGTCAGGCAGACTCCTTGGGAGGGGGACATTGTGCATGCGCCTGACCTTAGTCCAAAGGCATGGTATAGCTCGTACCCGGGCCTCTCCTGTGAAAGACCCTTTTGATGTCAGCCTCATACAGTTCACACTGTGATAAGCCTGAATCTGTGTGCTTGTTCCCCTTGACCTGTAATTTCAGGGCAAGGAGGGAAGAAGGGTTTCCTACCTTCCATCTGTGATCAGTGCCTGCAGAGGCCATGGGAAGAAAAAAGAATCAGAACCTAGATCTTGCTGGAAAAGCCAACATCCTTCCAGTTCTTGACCTGGGGGCCACAGGGACTGGAGGTGTAGCTGGAGCCCAAGCGGTCTTCACTGTGAGGCCCTGGACTCCCTAGGGCAGTCAGGGTTCTCCCAGGGCAGAGCCTCCTCCCAAAATGTGTTGGGTCCCGGTCTTGAGAGGGCTGAGGTTGCTGGGTAGGGTGGAGCATGCCTATAGTCCTATAGTCCCAGCTGCTCAGGAGGCTGAGGAAGGAAGATCACAAGTTGAAGGCCTGTCTGGGCAACTTAGCAAGCCCTACAAAAATAAAATTTTACAAGGGCCGAGGACATACTTCAGTGGCAAGCATGAGGCACTGGGTTCAGTCCCTAGTAAATCAAGAAGGTGTGTAGTTGGCTCCTGCCCATGAGCTGTGCATTCATTCTCCTGCTGACCTTCACACTCCATACTTTGGGGTACAAGCCTGCTTGTTCTTGCTGAGGAATGGAAGCTAGCAGCTGTTGGAGCAGGTTCTCCTTGCTCAGTCTCCCATCTCAGTCAACACAGAAATAGTTACCCTTCCCGGCAGAAGCCCCAGGTCAGTGCTGTAGCCAGCCGCAGTCCCTGCAGCAGGGGAAAGAGGGGCCTGAGAACCAAGAAGAATGTCTAGAGAGGGACAAGGCTGTCTGTGGAGCCTAAGCCACAAGGAGAGTGTGGCCACAGATTGGGCACTAGCTTAGCGAGTTGGACATGACAGGCCCCATGGAAGGGGTGAGGACGCTGGGTCTCTCCTCAGGTGACACATTCATTTTCTCTCCCTCCTTCCCCACAGACTTGCGGCCCTGAGTGAACGGGAGACGCGGCTGCAGGAGGTGCGCTCGGCCTTCCTGGCCACGTACAGCAGCACAGTAGGGCTTCGGGCAGGAGCCCCCAGTCCCTCAGGCGCCATCGGGGGCCTGCTGGAACAGTTTGTCCGTGGTGTGGGACTTCGGGGCACCAGCTCCAGTGCCCTGTGAGGCCACATCCCACAGCAGTTTTCCTACTCCTCATTCAGTTGAGACCATAGTGGAATCAAAGCCATGCCTAGCCAAGGGGCACTTGGAGGTCGGGGAATCTCACACCTCTCTCCATCATGCACACAGCAGGGCCGAGGACGGGGCTTTCCAACACCGGCCTCCTGACTCGTGACCAGCACACCAGTCTTCAGCAGAATATCCATCAGCTCTCAGAACTCTGCAGGGTTTTCTTGGCCCTTGTGGGGTCCCTGACTTCATGAAGGATCTTGCCCCCCAGTTCTTGTTTCCTGGGAAGGAGGGGATCACCTGCACAGAAAATGAGGCAGTTTGACACCATATCACAGAATAAAATCAGTCTTTTTGAACAGCTGTTGTCTTGGTAGAGCTGATAAACCTTGCTGTCCTTGTGCTGGTTGGCAAGGACAGGGTTGAGGGTCACGGAAGAACTGGAGACTTAGGTCTGTTCCTCAGCTCATGAGCGGTGGCAGGCAAATAGAACTCACCAGGCTGAAGCAAGGGCTGTGGTTGCCAAAGGAGCCTACATTGCGGGCTCAGGCCTGCTGGGATTGAGGGGCCTCTCTAGTTCTGTGGCAGCACAGACAAGGCAGATGTGACCTGCCATCCTGAGCCAAGAGACCCACCTTCGACAGGTGAGGATGCTGGCTTCTGAGCTTTGGAGGCAACACTGTACACAACATGAGGTGGGGAGGCCCTGAATGACCACTTCTTTCCAAAGGGTGACATGGCATAGACCGTGCTGTGAGTATGGAGGATTCAAGGGCATGAGCAGATGGTGTTCCACAATCATTTAAAAGCCATTTAAATTACTTATTTTTCTGCTGGTGCTGTGGAATTGAACCCGGGGTCTCACGCATCCTAGCCAAGGGCTTACCTGAGCTACATCCCTGGCCCCTTAGACTTTAACTCAAAACAGGTCATCAGTGTGAATACCTGGAGGCCAAATGGTAAGTGTTGAACAGTCACTGAACTGTCAATGTGCTAAACCCTTCCTTTCCGTCATCTAGACATTTTACAGTATTCAGGTAGCTGCTAGTGTGCCCTGTTGAGACCGAGCCAGAGATGTTGCCCACCTTGCCCGGGAGACCAGCTAATGGAACAATGTGACTTCATGTTGTAGAGCCCAGGCAGGCTGCAGTGGCAAGAGGGAGAGATTATTGAAGAAGAGGCTCAGGGAAAGAGGTAATGACCCCAGCCCCCAGCAGAGACCACGTTTCAGGACCATCAACAGCTCTAGATAGGGGGTTTGGAACCCTCACCCAAGCGAGTCCACCTCCCGTCCCGAGGTGCGGGCTGGAGCGGGTCTGCTGGTCTGCCGAGATTCCTCGCCAGCTCCGGCTGCTCCAATGGGGCGGGGGCCGCCCGCGGGGCCAGGCGGGGCTGCGCTGCCATCTGGAGCGCAGTGCGTGCGGGCGCCGCGGCCAGGCGAGCCGAGGTGCTCACGCAGGGAGGAGCGCAGCCCGCACATGGGCCAGCCTGGCCGCCACCGCCCCTAGCCGGGCCGGGCTCACAGCCCGCGGCGGTAGCCACTCCACCAGCCATGTCCTTCGGCGGAGCCTCGGAGCGCAGCGTCCCGGCCACCAAGATCGAGATCACCGTGTCCTGTCGGTGAGTGGGCCGCGCAGAGCAGGTCTCCGGCGTCGCGGACACGGCTGGACCGGGAGGGGGGCCCGCCGAGGAGCGTGGACAGGGTAGGGGCCGCCTCGGACAGCCCCAGCTCAGAAAGGCGCACCGTGCAAGGGTTCCGGGAGGGCAGAGGGATGGCGGGGGGCGCTGGGTCCAGGACCCAGGACGGCAAAGTTCTAAGGCGAACCCTCCCCCGGGGCCGGGAGGCGGTGTGAGCCCTTAGGCGAGGGCTCGTGGAGGGGGATGCTCGGGCTGGGCCGCTGTCCGGGGTGCTGACGGCGCAGGCCCTGCTCCCGCTCCCCTACGGCGTCCGGCCCGGAGGTGAGACCTGAGCCCCGCGCCTCCATCCCGGGCGCCCAACCGCCTGCCGGGGGCCGCGTCGAGGCGGCGGGCTCAGCACCGTCCTCCCGCGTCCGTCCCCGCTCCTCTCCAGGAACCTGCTGGACCTAGACACCTTCTCCAAGTCCGATCCCAGTAAGCGGCTGCGGGGCCGGGAGGGCGCGAGGTGAGGGCGCGCGAGGTGCGGGCGGGAGGGGCGATCCGCGCTAAGCGCCCCCCACCCGCAGTGGTGGTGCTGTACACGCAGAGCCGCGCCAGCCAGGAGTGGCGGGAGGTGAGTGTCGCCCCCCTAGACGCTCGGGACCCCCGACAACCGCGCTGATCTGCGTCCCCCCACCAGTTCGGACGGACCGAGGTGATCGACAACACGCTCAACCCGGACTTCGTGCGCAAATTCGTCCTCGACTATTTCTTTGAGGAGAAGCAAAACCTGCGCTTCGATGTGTGAGCCCCCGGCCACGCCCTGGGCCCCGCCTCCTATCTGCTCCCCCCTGCCCGGGGGCGGGTCCCAAGCTCCCAGGCCCCGCCCCCACAAGGCGCCCTTGGAGTTCGGCCCACACTGCCCCGCCCTCCATCCGCAGTATGACCCGGAGACCGGCCAGGACCTGCCCGGCCTCTCCCCGCCCACCCACGGCGGCCCACTCTCTTCTCAGGTACAACGTGGACTCTAGAACCAACATCTCCAAGCCGGTGAGGAGCACCCTGTTTACCCGACCCCGGGCTCCTCCTCCCCTGACCCGCCCTCCCGGTCCTCTGCGCCCCCGGCCGCTCGCCGCTCACGCCTGTTCTCTTCCTTCCCGCCGCTGCCGCTGCCGGAAACGCAGAAGGTGAGGCTGGGCGAGGGGGGTGCGCTAGGTCCGCGGACCCCTCCTCCCGCCACCTCTAGAAGCCACCCAGCGGCACCACCTCGGCACCAGCGGGTCCAGTGGAGCAGTGCCACCCGCCCTGCTCTGGGACTCCGAGTCCCCGAGCCTCGCTGACTCTGTGTCTTGCTTAGGATTTCCTGGGACAAGCATTCCTGGCGCTAGGAGAGGTGATCGGAGGCCAGGGAAGCCGCGTGGAGCGACCCCTCAAGTGAGCCCGATAGGAAGGGAGCGGGAGGGGCCGTGCCGGATTCCCCCTCGGAATCCTGTGACCCGGGTGGGGCTGGTATGGCCCTGTCGCTGCCGTGAGAGTCCATCTCTAGAGCGCTGCTCACAAGTCCGGGTCCCGTGTGTCCTCTGTCTCCACTTTGTTTCTAAGCCTGATTCAGCTTTTAAAACCCTCCTTCCAAGCTCCTCTCCACTGGACACATCCCCCCTCCCCATTAGATCAAAGCCTTGTGTCCTACACCAGACCCTGTTCTAGGCACTAGGGATTCGCCTGCTGCAACAGTCCTACCGGGCACCCATTCTTTCAGCCAATGTTCAAGGGCCAGAGTTACCGTAGTGAATGGCACAAGGGCCCCCGCCCTCGGGGAGCTGGGGCTTCAGTGCAGCTGGGCGTGTGAAACTGCAAAACAGACTGAGTAAATCACAGACGGTAAAGGCAAAGCGGCCGAAGGAAAAAGGAAAGCTGGGTGGATGGGAGTGGAGCAGCTGGAGGAGGAGAGGGAGGAGGTGTGGACCCTCAGGAACAGTGCTCCAGACAGAGGAAACTTCGTTCGGAAGTCAGGTTTGTTCAAAGAGCAGGAGGGATGGCGAGGCGGGAGCCGCGCCAGTTGGGGAGCTGAAAGTTAGGACCGACCTGGTCTCACTGCAGGGACCAGACCCAGCTGTCCCCTGAGCAGCAGAGACAGGATCTGACTCTGCTTTCCAAGGGTGATGCAGTGTCTGAGTTGAGAATAGGCCTGGGGTGGATGAACATAAGCCGAGGGGAGCCAGTTGTCAAGGGATTGTAGTCACATAGTGTGGCGGCAGTGGTGGAGGAGGGAGTGGTCAGATTGTGGGCATATTTTATTGACACTGAGTGGAGGTGTCCAGTGGGTGGTCGGAAACGTGAGTCTCAGATGTTCCTTTAAGGCCATGAAACCTGCTCACTCCTGTTACCTGCCTTTCTTCTTAAGAAATTGCTGTTGTTAAGCTTTTTATTTTCTATTCAGGGTATACAGCTGAGTAAGTACAGGAGTTTGATGTTTGCCATCTGAGTCTTGCAGAACTAAAGATATTTTGCGTATCAGCCATAATAGTACATTCTGTAGCCAGGGATTTAACTCAGTAGTTCCCACCACCTGCCTCACAAGCACAAGGTCCTGAGTTCAATCCCCAGTACCAAATTTTTTAAAAAGTACATTCTGTAAAAAAAAAAAAAAAAAAAGGCTTAAATGGATTGGTGTTTTAAGAACAAACTCCCCTCTCTTACAAAAATGACTAAAAATTGTGACTTTTTTAAAAACAAAGGAGTTGGGGGTGTAGCTTAGTGGTTCTGTGCACTGAGTGCACGAGGTACTAAGTTTCATCCCAGCTTTGGAGGCCTCCAAATGCTGCTGTAGGTCAAATAAGTCAAGGATTAGGAATTGGCGCTGGATTTAGCAGGAGGGAGATCACCAGGGTCTCAGACAAGCGTTGTTTTGAAGGAGAGTGGAGGTTGGAGAGGTTTAGAAGAGAATGGAAGAGGGAAATAGGAGTTGAGGAATGTTTCAGAGCATTTCCATGCAGAGTGAGAAACGGAGAAATGGCTGGAGCAGAAACCGAGGTCAGCAGTAGTTTGCTGTTCTTGTTGTTTTGCAGTACTGGGGATTGAACTTAGACCCTTTGTTTTATTTTGGGGGGGGGGTGTTTTGTTTTGTTTGGTACCGGGGATCAAACTTGGGACCTTGCGCTTTTGAGGCAGACAGTGGAACCACTGAGCTAAATCCCTGGCCCAACCTAGACCTTTTGTACTGAGCCACATCCCCAACTCTTTTATTTTGAGACAGGATCTCACTGAGTCGCTAAATTGCCCAGGCTGGGCTCCAACTTGCCATCCTCCTGCTTTAGCCTCCCAGAATTCTGAGATTACAGAATTAATCACAGCGCCACTCCTCAGCCCGCACTGGGGGCTGGATACCAGGGCTTAGCACATGCTGGGCCAGCACTCTACCACCAAACTATACCCCAAACCCTACATTTGTAATTTTTTAACATGAGAAAAAGTATACCACATGTATATTGATGAGAGAATGACCCACTAGAAACTGAAAAAGAAAATTAAGTTGTGAAAAGAGGGGCAAATTGCTGGAGTGAAGTCCTGGTACGGATGAGGCAGGGTAGAATGTAGCACTCAGTGCAGGGGTGAATGGCACATGGAAGGCTCACTCACAGCCGCTGCAGGAAGGTGCAGCTGTGCGGACACAGATTAGAGGGTAGGTGTGCTGATGGGGGGACTTCCTCTTCTGGTTGCTTCCATGTTGTCAGCAAGTAGGAAACGAGGTTGTGGCTGAAAGAGAAGATGGGGGAGGAGCTTGGGGCCTGAGGAAAGAGGGAAGGAAACTGCTGTGTACCAAAAGTGGAGAGCCAGGCCTCAGGAGGTAGCATATGAGACTGTGTGTGCTGCTCGAGCTGCAGTCCGTGGGTGCAGCAGGGTTAGGCTGAGTTAGATTTAACAGGCCAAGCTCCTGAAGTGCATTTAAAGTGAGAAAGGGAATGAGAAGGAGGTGACATGCAGAGGAGGAGTTCTTATAACCACTGAGTGTAGCTCACACTGGCAAAGTAGGAGGGCGCATCAAGGTTCAGGCAGCCATAAGGCCGCACTGTCTGATGTGCAGTGAACATTCCTGGCCTCATCCGCTTCCTCTTATGAAAGCGCAGAACCAAGATTTGAAGGAGTTAGAGAAATAGTCTCTCTATAGTCTCTCTGTCTCTCTGCCTCTCTCTCTCTTCCAGTACTGGGATTGAACCCAGGGCCTTCCCAGCGAGCTACATCCCAAGCCCTTTTTTTTGGTACCAGGGATTGAACTCGGGACCTTGTGCTTGTGAGGCAGGCAGCAGAACCACTAAGCTAAATCCCTGGCCCAAACCCTTTTATTTTAAGACATTGTGTCATTAGGTTGCCCACGTTAGGCAACTTGTGATCCTCCTGCCTCAGCCTCCCAGAGTGCTGAGATTACAGCTATGAGCCACCATGCCCCCAAATCCTCTCATTTTAAAGGTAGGGAAAATCACATAGCAAGTTAGAGCCAAAGTTTGAACCCAAGAACCTCCTGACCTAGCTTTCTCTCTGCTATACTGTGAATCAAGGCTCACAGACCCCTGTGAACAAGTCCCTCACAGCTTAGGGACCCAAAGCATATGTGCTTTAATCACATGCAATGTCCCTGGGGTCAGAGGAGGGTAAAGTATCTTCTTTCTTCCTTCCTTTCTTTCTTTCTTTTTATTTATTTATTTATTTATTTATTTATTTATTTATTTATTTATTTATTTTTGTGACAGGGTCTCTCTATGTAGCCCAGGCTGTCCTCAAACTTGTGGCAGTCTTCCTGCCTCAGTCTTTGGACTATAGGCATGTGCACCACACCCAGCTCCCTTGTCTTTTTCATCTCATTCTTCTCTGTCTTCAGAAAGTTTAGCAGCTTTGATCTAACAATCCAGCCATTTTCCCTGGGCCTGGGTTGAAACCCCTCTCCTGCTCTCAGAACCGCTGCAGCATGTGGGCCTCAGTGTCTTGCTTCCTCCTGGGAGCTCCCAACAGGTGGGGCCCAGGAGAGCTGGAGAGCACCACCTGCCCAGGGACCACTTGGCATCACAGTGGTGGGCACTAGGGGTGGGCATGAAGAATGTAATCTTGCTCTATCTTGCATGCTTGTGAATGGCTTTTCTAAGTTGGGTGCAGTGGCGCACATCTCCCTACTTTTCTGGAGGCTGAAGCAGGAAGATTGAAAGCTAGAGGCCACCCTGGGCACCTGAGACCCTGCCTCAAAATAAAATTAAATATTAAAAGCAGGGATGGAAAAAATAAAAATTAAAGAAGGGGTGGTGTATCTCAGTGATAGAGAACCCCTAATCAATCCTCACTACTGCCCGCCCCCCAAAAAAGGAAGGAAGAAATTGCCTGTCCATCCATGAACTCATTCAGGTAATTTCACAGTGACCATGAGGAGAAAAATGGGAAAGTGACAGAAAGGGCAAGTAACTTGCTGAGTGTCAGCCTGGAAATCTAATGTTCATCCCGAGGCCACTGACTCTGATCCCAAGTCTGATCCCTAGGCCACTTGTCCCCTCCTGCTAGACTACAGACCCCTCCCAGGTCACAGCCAGGCCTCCCCAGCAGGAGCCACCTTCCTGGCACACGGGACACCCAGGAGGCTGTCAGGAGTGGCAGATTGGAGCCCTGGCTGCCCAGCCTCAGCCTGGTGCCCCAGCACTGTGCCTGTCAGCCCTGCACTCACTAAGCAGGCTTCTCTGCTTGCAGGGGTGTACCAGGCAAGAAGTGTGGGACCATCCTGCTGACCGCGGAGGAGCTCAGCAATTGTCGGGTGAGTAGGGCTGTGTGCAGACCCAGGGGCGCCCTTCCCTTCCCTCGCACCCGTGGCAGACTATCTCTAGGTGACAGCCACCTCTCTTTCTCCTCAGGACATTGCCACCATGCAGCTGTGTGCAAACAAGCTGGACAAGAAGGACTTCTTTGGGAAGTCAGACCCCTTCCTTGTGTTCTACAGGAGCAACGAGGATGGCACGTGAGTCGCTGCCTCTCAGCCTTCAAGCTTGGCATGGGGCGTGTGCTTAACACGTGGGGCATCTCAGGGTCTCCAGCCCCCAGGGCAGGTTCCAGGCCTCTTGTTCCCTCCAGGTTCACCATCTGCCACAAGACCGAGGTTGTGAAAAATACACTGAACCCTGTGTGGCAGCCCTTCAGCATCCCTGTGAGGGCACTATGCAATGGAGACTACGACAGGTCTGCTACGGCACAAGCCAGGGAGGGAGGGAGCCAAAACACAGGACTGAGGCTCCTGGGCCTCAGAGGATGGACTGGGTGAACGAACGGGCAGATGAAGAAATGAATGAGCAGATGCATGGCTAGGTGGTCCAATGGTCAGATACACTGGTGAAGGGCTGCATGTGGATAGACACATGACAGCTCTGGTGGATAGGTGCTGGGGGAGAGGCGTGAATGGATGGAAGAAGAACGGGTAACTGGACCAATGGTGGAATAAATGGATGAATAAATGAATGGGTGAGCTGATGAATGAGTGCATAAGAGTTGGCAGATGACTGGAAAGGGATATGGATGGAAAGCAAGTGGAACAGAAAAAGACAGTGGAGGGCCAGGGATTTAGCTCAGTGGTTCCGCCGCCTGCCCTGCAAGCGCAAGGTCCTCAGTTCGATCCCCGGTACCAAAACAAACAAACAAACAAACAAAAAAGACAGTGGAGCCAGGGATGTAGCTCAGCAGCACTGTGCCTGCCTCACAAGTGCAAAGTCCTGAGTTCAATCCCTGGTACCAAGAAAAAGACAGTGGAGGGCCGGGGATTTAGCTCAGTGGCACTGTGCCTGCCTCGCAAGTGCAAGGTCCTGAGTTCAATCTCTGGTACCAAAAAAAAAAAGAAAAAGAAAAAGACCGTGGAGTGACAGGCAGGTCAATGGATGGGCAGACAGTAAAAGGAAGAATGAATAGATTAGTTGGTAGATGGGTATAAGGTAGATAGACTGACCAGAAGAATTAATGAATGGGTAGTATGAAAATAGGTAGGTAGGTAGGAGGATAGAAGGGATGGCTATGCAAATGGACAGGTGATTAGATGGACAGATGTGTTTGGTTGGGTAGATAAATAGACACATGGAGTACTTGTATGTGTCAGTGAGTGGCTGCATGTATAGTTGGATGAAGAGATAGATTACTAGGTAATTGGGTTGGCAAATATATGGGTAAATGGCTGGCTAGACAGGTAGATAGATGATTAAATGGACTGATATACTGACTGAAGACATGTAGACATGCTAGTTAAGAACAGGCCTTTGGAGGGCCAGGGATTTAGCTCAGTAAACACAAGGTCCTGAGTTAGAACTCCGATACCTCAAAAAAAAAAAAAAAAAAAAGAACGGGCCTTTGGAGCCAGGATGTCAGAGTTTAATTAGCAGTTCAATCACTTACTAGTCGTAGGATCTTAGCTGAGTTACTTTTTTTTTTCTGTATCTCAATTTCCTATATCCAAAAGCATGAATAATGGTATTTATTTTATGCAGAGTGGTTGTAAATTAAATGAGACAATCTGGCCAGGTGTGGTACCACATGCCTGTAATTTTAGCACTCTGGGAGGCTGAGACAGGAGGATCACAAGTTTGAGCCAGCTTGAGCAATTTAGCAAGACCCTGTCTCAAAAGAAAAAATACAAAGGACTTGAGATGGAGCTCAGCATAAAGGTCCTGGGTACAATCGATAGGGGGTGGGGGAATATCTGTGGAAGTGCTGAGAACAATGCCTGGGATATGGTAAGTCTCAATAAAATGATGAAGGAATAGTAATAATGGTCCTAATAGCGGCAGTGGTATACTAGCGGTAGACAGATATATGTCTGGGCTGGTGAATGAAAGGATAGGAGGAAAGCTGAACGGGCTGATGGAAGGCCGAATGGGTGAGTGGGAAAGTTACTTGTATGCAGCCTAAGTGAGTGGGGTGTCTCTGGGACTCATCAGATGCATCAGCCTGTTTATCCTGTGCGTTTCAGAACTGTGAAGATTGACGTGTATGATTGGGACCGAGATGGAAGGTAGAACTGCCCCACCGTGTCCTGTCTCTTGCACTGAACGCAGTTCTCTGTAATGTGTGGCCCATTTGCTAGGAAGCCCACGCAGCCCTGGGAACCAGCAAGGGTTGGGTATCTCTCTGGCATGCTGTCTCCTCCCTTTTCTTCCCTTCTGGTCCTAGCCCTGCTGCCCCACAGCCCAACTAGGAAATTAGGGTAGGGGAGTAAAGTCCAGACACTGGCCTGGCAGTGGGCACTTACCCACCCCCACATCACTGCAGCCACGACTTCATTGGTGAGTTCACCACCAGCTACCGGGAGCTGAGCAAGGCCCAGAACCAGTTTACGGTCTACGAGGTGAGCGCCCCAGCCCACAGGCCTCCAGCCCAGCCTACACAGCCTGCAGCCCTTTCCATTCCCACGCCCGCTGTCACCTTGCCCCACTTAGGTACTGAACCCGCGGAAGAAATGCAAGAAGAAGAAATACCTCAATTCGGGAACTGTGAGTGCTCCCTGGTGGTGGGTCCCCCAGCCTCTCATTGGGTTCCAATCACCTAGATATAGTAATGTTGGCCACAAGATGGCGCCACTGCAGTTTTTGTTTGTTTTTACCTTTACACTTTTGCAGAGTAAAAGAAACAACCAAAAAAACTTCTTAGATTGCATTTCCAAATTTAATACACATGTTCATGAGACAAGTAGGGCACAGCACGGAGTCATGTGCTCCCATTGCCTAACTAACTCTCCCCAAGTGTCAGGGCCGCCTCTTCTGTCCTACAGGTGACACTGCTGTCCTTCTCGGTGGACTCTGAATTCACTTTTGTTGACTACATCAAGGGAGGGTGAGTCACACACCAAGCTCTGGGCTGAATGGCCAAGGCCAGGTTTTCTTATTTCTGAATGAGATCATGGTGATAAACTGAGAGGTAGTAGGCAAACTGTAAAGTGTTCTGTAAAGTGCACAAGGCTGCCCCTCTTAGTTCTGTTCACAGTGGTGCCTTGCATTCAGAGCTTTAGGAGTCCCTCAGTACCTTCGGGGAACAGTTGTGGCTGGGGTGGGGTTTAACTCAGTGGCTCAGTGGCACAGCGGGCTTAGTTTACACGAGGTCCTGTGGTCCTTCCCTAGCACACACACAATTACAGATAGACAGAGGAGGTGGCCAAGAGAGGGAGAAGCCAAGCTGATTGGAGACTGGAGGGGTTTGGTTTGTTCATTGTAGGCAGGTAGACCTGAGAAATGTACTTTGCTTTGCAAAAACACTTTCTCCTATGTAAAATAGAGATGTTGGGCCCGGGATGTAGCTCAGTGGCACCACGCCTGCCTCGCAAGCACAAGGTCCTGAGTTCAATCCCTGGTACCAAAAAAAAAAAAAAAATGATGTTAATTATTACTTCAGGGCTATAGTAAGGGTTAAATTAAATTACATCTAATACACTGTCACAGAGTAGGCCCAAATTCTGGTACCCAAAATTCGGTCCATCGATCAGCAGCATTTGGAATTTGTTGACTCCACCCAGACTGCTTGGATCAGACTCTGCATTTTAACATGAGCCCCAGGTGTTCTGAATACACAATAATGTTTGAGAAATAGTGGTGGGGCCATGCAGTGGTACAGGCCTGTCATCTCAGCTCCTGGGAGGCTGAGGCAGGAGGATCACAAATTCTAGCCCAGCCTAGGCAACTTAGCCAGACCTTGTCTCAGAATTTTTTTTTTTTTTAACTTAAGGCTGGGCATGGTGGTGGATGCCTGTAATCCCAGCTCTTGGGAAGCTGAGGCAGGAGGATCACCATGAGTTCAAGGCCAACCTGGGCTACATAGTGAGTTCAAGGGCAGCCTGAATTACATAGCAAGACCCTGTCTCCAAAAACAAAAATTTAAAAGGGACTAGGAATGTAGGTCGGTGGTGGAGAACTTGCCTAGTATGTGCAAAACTCTAGATTCAATCCCTAACACGAAAGAAAGAGAGGGAAGGAAGGAAGGGGGTAAAGGAGGGGAGGAGAGGAGAGAAGGTGTGACAGTCGCTCACTGCTCAGCCCATCTCTTCTCCCACAGGACACAGCTGAACTTCACGGTAGCCATTGACTTCACAGCTTCCAATGGTGAGGCCTGTGTGGGAGGACGAGGGGTGGGAGGACTCTGAGAAGTCTTCGGGATGGACCTAGCTAGATACCTGCCTGAGTTTTCCTAGCCAAGGACCCGCGGGCCTCAGAGAACACGTTGGTCGGAGGGTTATGATCAGCACAAAGCTGGGCACAAGGATGCAGGAAGACAAATGGATGGATGGTTTACTCTGTAACTGCTCCACAGGTGGCTGGATCCATGGATGGATGGGAGGGAAGGGCTGTAAGGAAAGCGGGTAAATGGATGGGTGTAGGGTGCTTAGTCAGGGTGAATCGATGCACAGACAGCAAGAAGCTGGTGGTTGAGTGAGGACAATACACTGGACAGCACAAGGGGATGCAGGGACTGGCAAGTGGGTGGACACAGGGAGACAGAAGGTAAGGAGAAGGAATGGATCAGTGTTCAGATGAACAGGTCCACATGAAAACAGACCCATGAGTGAGTGGAATAGGCCGGTGCTACTGGAGAAGGTAAGATGACTGGAAGGACAGGTGGAAAAGAAAGAAATTGTTAACGGATGAGCGGGGGCCAGGGGTGTGCTGAATTACAGGCAGGGATGGCTAAGAAGATTGGGAAGTGGACTTAAGGCCCAGTGATGGGCAGACAGGCGTGTGGGTAGAGGGTTACACAGATGGACAGACAGAGGGCAGGAGGGTGGAAAGACAGATAAACAGACACAGGAAGGGCAGCGGAAAACTAGGGAGACCCTAGGCAGAGGACAGGTGAGGGGACTCAGCAACAAGAGGTGAGCGGGGTCTGGTCCAGGCAACAAGGCTGGGCACTGTCCCCACAGGGAACCCTTTGCAGCCCACGTCCCTACACTACATGAGCCCCTACCAGCTCAGCGCCTATGCCATGGCACTGAAGGCAGTGGGGGAGATCATCCAGGACTACGACAGCGACAAGCTCTTCCCAGCCTATGGCTTTGGGGCCAAGCTGCCCCCTGAGGGCCGGATCTCCCACCAGTTTCCCCTGGTATGGTGTGGGCAGAGTTGCCAAGGGGTGGGAGGCTGGGAAAGGGTAGCAGAGCAGCTCAGAGGGAGCAGGAGTGGCACTGGGGAGAAGGATGAGGTGGGCTCCTGAGCTTTGCTCGGCAGCTAGTCTTCCTCCCCAGAACAACAACGATGAGGACCCCAACTGCGCAGGCATCGAGGGGGTGCTAGAGAGCTACTTCCAGAGCCTGCGCACGGTGCAGCTCTACGGGCCCACCTACTTCGCTCCTGTCATCAACCAGGTGGCCAGGTAAGGGGAGGGCTCTGGGCAGACTCCCCACAACAGTCAGAACCACCGAGGGTTCTGGAGAGAAGCTCCATGCTGGCCAGGCTCTGGGATAGAGGTTACACAGCAGCTGATTGTGGGGTGAAGGAGTCCAAGCTGCCCCTTTGGGCTGACAACCTGGCCTGGAGTTTGCGTAAGAGAGAAAAGAGCCCGTCCTCCAATGGAGAAGGCTTCAGCTTGGGCGTCCACCCTGGGCAGGAGGCTGACTCTGCCGCTCACTGACACACAACCCTAAGTACCTCAGCCCCCTTGAGTCTCCATTGCAACCCCCAAAGGCAGTAACAGTGGCGGAGGCAGCAGTTGCTGTGGAAGGTTGTTGTCAGGTTAGATAAACCCCAGTTACCAGAGAGCAGTGCAAGAATTTAGCACAGCATTGGCCTGCAGTAAGTGCTGGTTAAATGCTAGATTAAAAACTATCCAGACTTCAAAAAAATGTGCAAAGCACAGAAAACTCAGGTCGTATATCAAATAATTTTTTTTTTGTACCAGAGATCGAACTCGGAACCTTGCACTTTCGAGGCAGGCAGCAGAACCATTGAGAAATAATTTTTTAAAATCACAGAGCTGGGCGTGGTGGCACACACTTGTAATCCCAGCACTTGGGAGGCTGAGGCAGGAGGATCATGGTGAATTCGAGGCCATCCTGGGCTACATAGTGAGTTCAAGGCCAGCCTGGACTACATAGTGAGACCCTGTCTCAAAAAACAAAAACAACAGCTGGGGATTTAGGGGATTTAGCTGAGCGGCACCACACCTGCCTCACAAGCCAAGGTCCTAAGTTCCATCCCAAACAAAAACAAAGCAAAACAAAAACAAAAAAAAGAGGGTAGTAACAGCAAATTTAAAATAAAATGACAGAACTAAAACCAAGCATATATCAGTAAACATGGGATAACCAGTGATTGAGTTTAAAAGAGATTCTTGCCTCCAGAAATTTAAGAAATAAACTTGTTCTTTATAAATTAAAAAAAGGTTCTGACGAAAAAAAAAAAAACCAAAGCCCACTATGTGGACTAGAAAAGACCTGGCTAAAACAAAATACCTCAAGAAACATGGAAGTGAAAAGACCAAACAACAACAAAAAAAGACCAAACAAAAGGACAATAAATGTTAAATAATTTCAAGGAGATTCATAGTCCTAAATTTCCTTTTTCTCCAATAAAGATTTATTTTCTGATTCATAATGAGACTAACAGTTATTCTGATTATGAAAATAATATATTGCTGTAGACTATTTCCAAGGTAGAGAAATGAAATAAGAAATCACAACTGGGCACAGTGGCATATTTCTGTAATCCCAGCTAATTGGGAGGCTGAGGCAGAAGGACCCCAAGTTGGACTCCAGGCTGGGTAATCTATCGAGACTCTGTGTCTTCAAATAAAAGGAGGAGGGTGCACACTAGTGATGTAGCTCAATGGGAGAGCACTTGGCTAGCATGCACAAGTGATATAGGGGAAATAAAACTCCCAACCTGCTTGATGCCAGATATGCCAAGTTTGTGTTCCCCAAAACTGAAGAATGAATCTAAGAAACAACAGAGTTTAAGAGTAGAAAAAACTCACCAGGCATGGTGGCCTGTAATTCCAGCACTCGGGAGGCAGAGGCAGGAGGGTCACCGTGAGTTTGAGGCCAGCCTGGGCTACATAATGAATTCAGGGCCAGCCTGAACTACAAAGTGAGACCTTGTCTCAAAAAAAAAAAAAAAAAAGGAAAAACTTACTGAGAACGATAGCTCTGAGAGACAGAAAGAGACCCAAAAGTGGGTTGCTAACAAGGCCAATTCTCAAAGGAAGTTTTATAGAGCAAAATCACAGGTAGGTACAAAATCACAAGGTGGGTACAACATGGGTCAAAACTATGATCAACCAATAAGATTACAAGTATAGCTGCTTAGGTAATATTGATCCAGTGAGGAAGCAGGTCACATAGCAAGTGTACTTAGAAAAATAAAGACCTTTTTAGGAAGGGATCAGGAAGTCCGGGTCACCCATGTGGGTGACTGATGTCTATCTGGACTTTATTGGACCAGGTGATACCCACTATAGTATAATCTTCAAATTATTGCTTATCCCTGGGGAGGCATGTGGGTCTGGCCATTCTGTCTTTATCTTTCAGCCTGGCCTTCAACAGATGTGCCTCCAGCCACAGTTGTGATAGGTTCTCATTTTCTGCACTGACTCCTTCGAGGGCCTAGCCCTGTCTGAACTTAGCTGTCTATAATACAAGGTTCTGGGTTCAATCCCCAGCACTGCAAAAGAAAGAAAGAGAGGGGTGGGAAGGAGGAAGGATTTCACCTGGATTACTACCCATGGGATATAGATACATATAGAGTTCTCGACAGTCTTTTCCGTGTGTGTGTGTGTGTGTGTGTGTGTGTGTGTGTGTGTGTGTGTGTGTTTGAAATAAGGTCTTGCTAAGTTTTCAAGCTGCCCAAACTAGGATTCTCCTGCCTTAGCCTCCCTGAGTGCTGGGACTATAGGCGTGAGCCACCACGCCTTGCTAGTTTTTTCTTTCTATAATCTCAGTCAAATTACACATAATATTTCAGTTCTGGTTTTTTTCCCACCAATATTGGAGTCTACTTTTTATCTTCATTAACCAGACTTCTTAAATATTGGCAGCAGCTACCCAATCCATTTATCCATTCATCTAACAAGCAACTCATAAAGGGGCAGCCAGCATGAACATGGGCTCTGCAGTAGCCCTGCTCCCACAGCAGTGCTGCTGCGCAGGTCTCTGAACCCTGCTGTACCTGGTCCTCATTTGTAAAACCCTGCATCTCAGGGCTGTTAGGAGGCTGATGACACTTGTCACCTGCTTAGAGTAGCATCGCCACACCCTGAATGCTGTTAGCTTTAGCTGCTGCTGTTACTGTTGTAACCTCCACTGCTATTCAGAGAGCAGCTGCCAGTGCTCTGCTCTCTGCTGGGCCCTGGAGACTCCCAAATGAATCAGGCCTGGGCCTGCCCTCGGGAACTCCTGCCTTGGTACAAGAGACAGACCTATAAATAAACATTCCCTCTGTAGCCAGAGCTTCCCAGACTTCTCTAGCAAGTTGCCTATCCTCCCTGGGGGCACAGCTGAAGTCTTTGAATTCTCCATATTTCATCTTAAAAATTCACGCAAATTTTACATTCTTCTCAGGTGAGCTGCATTCATGTTTTATAGAGGTGTTGCAAATGCTCTTTGCCATCTAGCTTTCTCCACCATTTGGTGCAGTAGGGGGAAGGTATCCTTGGGTACCCCTCAGTACTCTCCAGGGTGTGACACAGGAAGAACAAGGAGGGGACTGCCCAGTGGGAGAAGGCAGAGCAGGCGGGCCTGATGAGAGGAAAGCACAGAGGCAGCAAAGTGGATCAGGACAGGATGTGATCTGCTGGGTGTATCTGGGGCATGGCTGAAATGGAAAGAAGAGGATAAGAATGGGGCTTTGGGCTCAATTGCCCAAGCAAGGCTTGGACTCCTGCCTCATAATCTCTGGGGGATGCTACTCAATGTCTCTCAACATTTTTCTCATTTTAAAAATAGGAGTTGAAAAAAAAAAAAAAGGAGTTGAGGGCCAGGGATTTAGCTCAGTGGCACTGTGCCTGCCTCAAGAGCGCAAGGTCCTGAGCTCAATCCCTGGTACTGAAAAAAAAGAAAAGAAACAGCATTTGGGCATGGTGGTTGCAGGCCTGTAATCCCAGCACTCTGGGAAGCTGAGGCAGGAGGATCGGAAGTTTGAGCCTGGACTGGGCAACTTAGCAAGTCCTGTCTCAAAATTAAAAAGGCAGAGGGCCGGGGATTTAGCTCAGTGGTTTCGCCACCTGCTGCACAAGCGCAAGGACCGGAGTTCAATCCCCGGTACCAAAGAAAAAAAAAAAGGCAGGGATGTGGCTTAGCATTTTGAAGACCCTAGGTTCAACCTCCAGTGTTGAAAAAAAGAATGAACAAAATCTTGCCCACCTCATAGAGTGGCAGTGAGGATTAAATCAGATGCATTTGTCATACTCTGATGGGAATCAGAAAAGATTCTCCATTGTTTCCTCTCCTGCCTGAGCCAGGCACAGACTGGCCTTCCCCGCCAGTGGCCTTGGAGAGATAATGGCCTCAGGATGCAAGGCATGTTCAGGGAGCACTCAAGTCCCTCACTCGAGGCTCCCTCCCAGCTCAGCTCCACCTTCCTCGGCAGCTCTTCTGTGACTCCTGGGACATACTCTCTTTGCATGTGCCAGTCTCTCCCTTTCACTTCCCATCATGCACACGTGGCACACATTCACACACATGCCTCACCTGCTCACTCTCCAAGCTCTAGATTAGCTGTCATACCTCAGCGCATTCGAGGTATGCAGTATCTGCTTCCACTCAGGCAGTATCCTGCTCGCTGCCATGTGCCTGGCACCAAGTGTGGTGCCAACAGACAGCAGGTAGACAGAGACTACTTGTGACAAGATAAAGCCACAGGCCAAGCCTCAGGAGAGCCCAGAACTTAGGAAGGGACTGGGCTGTGGAAGAACTGTGAGAATCGT